AAAGCTAGACCCTTCCATTAATTCTGAGGCACCCATACGGCTTTTTTTTTTAACTTTAAAAATGTCTTGGATAATACTAACAGAGAAGGTATATTGTATGAATTAGTTGGTATCCAACCCACACATGAAGGAACGACGACGTTTCGGTCCGTCCTGGACCGAAATCTATTGCATTATCTATTGCACGACTTGATAACGGTCCAGGACGGACCGAAACGTCGTCGTCTCTTAATATATAGTTTGGATATCAACTGTTGATCCAGACAACTTCAAAATGATAGATATAACGCAAACTTTATTTATTTATAAATTTATAAGAGGGTACAATGGGTTTGTGAGATTATATAGCATTTGGCATTTTTACATTCTTGCAAATCCACTAACACTCATAGCGTTCCGGTCAGGTCCTTAATCTAAACAGGTCAGGTAAGATGAAAAGGTACATTGTAGCTACATTTTATATCAGCAGATTACAACAATATAAATTGACAGAGGTGATTACACTGGTGATGTATGTCTTAAGTACTAATATTGGGGAAGTGGGTAGCACTTGATACAGTGTGAGTTTGAAGCACAAGGCAGGAAACTATGAGGATGAGGAAACAAGGAACAATTAACAGTTTCACGCTCAACAAGCCATAATGTTGGATTAAGAACAATTCAAATCAATTTCTTTCTTTATTATGCACCCCATACCCATCCCGTGGGCGGTGGTGTAAAAGATTACAGAGGCACATAATCGGTTCAGGAACTGAACCCTCTAGTTCGTTTAGCTAAGCAAATAACAATTTTTGACGCTATTTACAAAATTATTAATGTTATATATACATGTACACATTCTCATACATACATGTACATATATATATACGTATACATATATACATACACATACATATTTAATCACCCACACAATTTTTCACCTACTGGGTTATTAACACATCATGGAACCCGTAAATGGAACCTGTAGAAGCCGTAAATGACAAAAATCTGTTGAATTTTAAATATAAGAATTTTAAAATAAAGCTTGAAAAACTCACCAGGATAACTGGGAGGACCTTTGACAAGCCGCAGATTTCCTGTCCTCGTCGAGGCCACTAAAGTGTTAGTGGTCCTCAGGTAAATTCAGGTTATTGTGACTCATCGTTTCTTGTATGAATTAGGTTGAATATTGGTAATCAATTGCCACAATGGACACGAGGTTATCTTACTAACTAGATACGACCACTACACTGTTTCAAGGCTATAAAAGTGAAACTTAATTCATACAGCAGAGCACTGACCTTCAAAAGTTACGTCTTCAGCCGTACCTTTTTCCATGTAATAATGGAAATGACTATAATGCCCTTCTAAAACAAATCTCAATAAGTCCCTAAGATATCACTGTTAGCTGCACTCGTGATATTCATGCACAAAGCAAAATTTACGCACCGTAAGATATGTAGTAGCCTAATTCAGTCCCCCCTTACAACACAGCGGCGATCAGAGAAAATGGCAGACAGTCCTGGACACAGCCCGCACCCCTGTGAGCATATAATTATGATAATAATTCATTTCTGTCGGGGCCCATTGATGATATGGCGAGGTCTATTGAATTTTGTGGCTAGTTTATCAAGATTGTAACATTTCTTAGCTAAATGAATTGTTGTGTTCAGTCCCTGAGCCCATTATGTGCCTCTGTAACCCTATCCACTACCGCCCACAAGATGGGTAAGGGGTGCATAATAAATGAACTAGACCAAACTAATGGGGGACAGGAAGCCAGAGTGTATTCATACACGTTTGGCGTTTATCTTGGTCCCACCCCCCCCCCCCACACACAAGGCTGAATTACTGACCTCCCAGGATACATCCCCACACCAAGCTAGGTGAACTGGGCATTAGTAATAATAATAATAATAATAATAATAATAATAATAATAATAATAATAATAATAAATAATAATAATAATAATAATAATAATTAAGCCGGAGCTGGAGCTCCTTGGACAGTTTCATTGCTGCCTTCAACGTCGTTTCTGACAGTTCCTGCGACGGCGCTGGAACCAATCTTATTGATGTTTGCCTTTCCACTGGAGACTTTCGGCGCCGTGGAAGGGTAGGGGGGAAACCTGCTGTATGGGTGACAGCTTCCCCCCTCCCCCCGTATCAATCTACCCTGGCATTTCGCCCTGGAGAGGCCACTCCAGACCGACAACCAGAGCGCAACTCTATAGTCTCCTGAGACTGATGGATGCCTACTACTACTAATAATATAACGGCGGCGTCGGTGTTTCTTCCAGGCTGCACGCTTGCAGGGGACAGCCTGAGTACAGTCTGTATTCCACCAGGGAACACACTTCCACATGCCCCGGGAGGTAGAGCGAGGACTGGAGCTGAGGGCAGCGTCGAATACGATGTCATGAAAAAGGAGAACTCGAGGGATCGAGGCAGATCGGAGAAGTCAGAAAGAGTAGCATGGAGGATGAATAGATCCCTGTTACGGACCCGAGTCCAGCGTCCGAGCACGGAGCAGTGACGACAACGCCATCTGTGGGTCAGCTCCCGAAACCCCCTCCAAATGGACGACGCCACCTAGTGAGGACGAGAAATACCGCCCACAAGGGCTAGTTTCCCGTCCTGATCAGCTCATAACACAGCCGCTGCTGACCTCTGGTGAGGTGACGCTTAGACAGCAACGCCATCTATGGAGTGGATAGGTGGGCGTTTGTGTCTAAGCCTGTAAGTGAGGTGCCCTAGAGTGTAACCGGTACTGATGACGTGTCTGATTACAGAGTCGACCTGGGACTGCTGTAATGAACGTTGGATCAGTCTACCCAAGGCAGCCGTAAAGTCTCCAAGTATTAGCTGCAGAAGTTGTGAGTCACCCCCCCCCCCCCCGGATGAACACTGTTGTGTTAGCCTGCCTGTGACGTGGCAGTTGAGGAACTGTCGTACCCGGGGCTGACTCGTGGAGAAGAATAGCCACTGGGGTGGTATGCTGAGAAGAGTGATTTGTGGGATCACACGAGGCTCCTGCCTAGGGATCGCTACCCTAGTATCGGTCGTGGAGTGGCCTAACCAGCGGAACTGATTGGAACCTGCCAACTACAGGCTGGATTTGTGGTTGATGGCCTCCACGACGGTGCCCCCAGTGGAGCTGTGATTTGGCTGGCCTGTGGCCAGGGTAGACTCGAGAGAATCGAAGTATTCATCGTGAGGCCACAAGAGGACCAAGGGCTAAGCATCGTTGAGCACCGTGGAACACTCCGCGTCTTCAGAGGAAGACCACATTGTATATTCTAGTGTTTATACCTCCCCCATGTAATTTATATTTATTATTTATGGTGATGGTAATTATATATTTAAGTTTAAGAGCAGTTTTATCCCTTCCCCTTTAATTTACTTGCGTTACGGAGCACACCCCTTCAAAGCCACTACTAACTTGGGGCCGGATACCCATACTCTACTAACATCAGAGAAAGAACCCAGTTGCGACCCAAGAGGGCCGTAACAATCGACGACCACGACCACGAGGGGGTCGAGTGAATCTATCAACCTGGAGGACTGGATGGCCTTGGACCTCGAGGATATGTTTAATATCCTCGTGGCAGTCTATCAGTTCCCTTCACACCATGGAGCGGGAGAATAACTGTGCCAATGCTGGCATTTTAACCGCGGATTTTTGGAGATCCGAACATGGGTGTCTGATGCTAGGTGGTGAGCTGCGTCATGAGAAGGGGCAGCACCGGCACGTGTACCAGTACAGGTGGGGTTAAAAGTGACAAAGAAACCCACAGAATCAACTTTATGTTTATGGATGAATAAGTCACCAGGACGTGTAGAATCAACATGACTGAGATCAAAATACTTTGTCCACTTCAAAATCAAAATCAAAATGTTTATTCAGGTAAAAGTACATACATAGAAGATGAGTTATAAACATAATGTTGGATTTATAGATAGAGCTATTATAGTACATGCAATACCTAAAGCCACTAATACCCACAGTGTTTCGGGCAAACGGTATGTTATGTTGAATTGTTAAATCTAGCGCGAGAAAATCATCAGGACACTACTTGGGGAACCTTTGACAAGTTACCGGCTTTGTCTTAGTAGAAACCTCTATACTCATCGAAACCACTAAAAGCTGAACTATAATGCCAATCCTGACCTTTAACGCTTCCTAGAAGGTTGTAACAGAACCCATGGGCACCAAACCAGAAACAAATACCTATTTGATACTCCAAGAGTGCGCCTTAACCAAACTAGAAATGCTTTACAAATCAAAGAACCCAGAATGTGGGATGACCTTCCCAATCATGCCAAAGACTGTACCTCTCTCAACCAGTTTAAGAGAAAAACTAAGTACTGCCTAATAAATTCCATGTAACCTACCTTACCCCCTAAATGTCAACCCGTGTCTTGCTATTTTCAAACAATATTGTTTGTTGACCTCGTTGTATAACAGCTGATTTCTGCCACGTTCCCACCCCCCATTTTTTTCCTTTTCAACTCAACTTATGCTTTAATCTCAATTAGTATTAAGTTTAGTTTAATTAATTTAATTAGTTTAATAAAGTTTAATTAGTCTAAGTGTTTTTATATTACCTGAATAAACATTTGAATTTGAATTGAATTTATAATGTGTTAGTGGCCTTCAGATATTCATATATGGTAAATTTAGAATGGGAACATTTGAGAACAAGTAGTATAGGAAATAATTATTCCCAGAGGATGAAAGGCCGGTCAGTGATGAAATAGGATAATATATGCCACAAATAGAGGCGTATTACCACCAGCCATAAATAGAATAGTCGTATTTGGATGCTTGTTCCCTAATGGTGGATACAGCTGGTGTCTGCAACACTCCCACGATACAATGATTTATCTTATTACTGAATACAATACCTCAAGTATATTAAAAAAAAACAAATATAAATGAATTAATATTTTATAAATCTAAATATCAAGTATATTAGGCACATGAACTGTGTGAGTATATGAGGACGTGTGTCTCAGTGTGTTGTTTTGAGTGGCGTCAGCTGGTGCTCTCCCTCACTCTCTCCCTCACACTCTCCCTCACACTCTCCCTCCAGCACCTGTGTACTACACCTCACCCAGTGTTACGTGGAAGGTCAGGTGTGTAGGAGACGGGTGTGGCTGGCACCAGTGTTGGCAGGTGTGTGAACGCTGCCCTCTGTAGTGGTGGAGGTTGGTAGTGTGGGCGGGTATTGGCTAGTGGTGGGCGGGTACTGGCTAGGATGGGCAGGTATTGGTTAGGGTGGGCGGGTATTGGTTAGGGTGGGCGGGTACTGGTTAGTGGTGGGCGGGTACTGGTTAGTGGTGGGCAGGTATTGGCTAGTGATGGGCGGGTATTGGTTAGTGGTGGGCGGGTACTGGCCAGTGGTGGGCGGGTACTGGCCAGTGGTGGGCGGGTACTGGCCAGTGGTGGGCTGGTACTGGCCAGTGGTGGGCTGGTACTGGCCAGTGGTGGGCTGGTACTGGACTGGGTGGGCTGGTACTGGACTGGGTGGGCTGGTACTGGCCTGGGTGGGCTGGTACTGGCCTGGGTGGGCGGGTACTGGTCAGGGTGGGCGGGTACTGGCCTGGGTGGGCTGGTACTGGTCAGTGGTGGGCGGGTACTGGCCAGTGGTGGGCGGGTACTGGCCAGTGGTGGGCGGGTACTGGCCAGTGGTGGGCGGGTACTGGCCAGTGGTGGGCGGGTACTGGCCAGTGGTGGGCGGGTACTGGCCAGTGGTGGGCGGGTACTGGCCAGGGTGGGCTGGTACTGGCCTGGGTGGGCGGATACTGGCTAGGATGGGCGGGTATTGGTTAGTGGTGGGCGGGTACTGGTCAGGGTGGTTACTGTCCTGGCAGGTGGTTACTGGCTGGGATGGATGGTCACTGCCCTGACAGGTGGTTACTGACTTGGCAGATGGTTCCTGACCTGTGACTGGCCATTGCCCTGGCAGGTGGTTACTGGCCAGGGTGGCTGGCCATTGTGCTTTTGGTAGATGAATGTGGGGAGGATTTTATCCATCAAAAAGGTAGAGTGATATGGTGGTGTGGATTAAGGTGGTGGTCACCGTGCTCGCAGCCCTACTCTCAAATTGCCGAAAATGACCAATCCGTGTTCAGTAACACATACTCTCCAATTAACACCCATCTTTATTTCACAGAACGTTGAGCACCATGTTGGTGTGGCGACTCGGCACGTGCATCTTGGTGTGTGTGTTGGTGTGTGGAGAGGCAGGTGCCCACACACACCACCTCCACAATGCCCAGAAGGAGAGGGAAGCTGACGGCGCGCGGAGCCCCCGGGATCACGGCCACTATGCTGATGGCCAGCATAACTCTGAATTTGATCACGAAGCCATTCTAGGTAGGTTGAAAGGCATTGACCTACATTTCTGTGATGTGAGATAATGGGTTCTGGTATTTTGATTTTGCTTTCAATAAAGGGGATTTTAAGCAGCAGGTATAGTAAAAATGAAGAGTGGGGATTGGTTGGATGCCTTGGGATCCCCAGAGGAAACGGTTAAATTGCACTTTACATTACTTTTGTACCATATTGTGGTTCTCTCGTTTAAGGCATGTGATTGGGAGTACAGTATCCAGTGTGCAGGTTCAAATCGTCCTCGTGGCTCCTACTGATTTTCTCATTGATATATCACGTTAATGTGATTTCTTTGTGCATTTGAGGAGAGTGTTGGGGATTAGAACTCTTGTACCCCACCAGAGTGTATGCAAGTAATATGTGAAACCCTGAATGTCCACTGGATCTCTTAAGACCTCTAGTGGATTCAGTTGAATCCCAGGTTACAATACTTTTGTAACATATTGTGGTTCAGTGATCATATATTTGTTAGCAAGCACATCATTAATCCATATTTACCTGAATTTACACAAGGGCCACTATCTGTAGTCATCTTGATGAGGACAGGAAGCTGGCAGCTTGTCAAAGGTCCCCCTCCCCTTTCCCCTTCTCATTTGTCCTGGTGATTTTTTCAAGCTGGATTTGAAAGTTCAACAGAGTTTTAGCATGTAATGGCTTCAGCGGGTAGGCAGTTTTATGGGTTAATAACCCTGTGGGTGAAAAGCATCTCCTTGTTGAGTTTGTTGAGTTGAGCTTGTTGAGTTTGAAATTGCTCCTTCCTTGTTTGTGTTACATCTGACCATTTGAAGAAGTCATTTGGATCAACATCCTCCAAATTGTTCAGTATTGTACTGTATTTTATAAGTTTCAATGAGATCAACCTTGTCATGTCTGGTTTGCAGTGTTGTTAGTGAGTTGTGGCCCTAAACATTTCCTGGTATTAGAATACGTATAAGAAATTAATGAGGAACATGGAAGTGCATGACCTTGAAGATATACAGCTCTAAATTTAATTAATTAGGGCATGAAAGCACTGTTAGCATAACTGCATTCACCAAGGTGGGCAACATTCACAAGCATTGTGATCCAGGGTTCTCTTCCAAGACCTACCTACCTACCTGGAGAGGGTTCTGGGAGTTGTTCTACTCCCTGGGCCTGGCCTGAGGCCAGACTGGACTTGTGATAACTTGGTCTAACAGGCTGTTGCTTGGAGAAGCGTATGCAGTGGGGTAGAGCTCAAAAGTAAGTGAAGCCTTACATAACAACATAAGAATTAAGGAAAATGCAGAAGGCCTGTTGGACTGTACGAGTCAGATCTTACTTACATCCATCCAAACTCATTCATATACATGGCTAGCCTACGCTTGAAACAATCAATTTTCCTATGTTTTTTTTTCCTATGCTATATAAAATGTATCAACACATTTTATACTTTAATCTCAATTAGTATTAAGTTTGTCTTTAGTGTTTTCCTGCCCGAAACGCTTTGCGTAATAGTGGCTTTAGGCATTGTATGTACTAGCTCTATCTATAAATTCATCAATATTTGTATCACACCCTGTATGTATGTACTTTACCTGAATAAACATTTGAAATTTGAATTTGATGTATAATAAGTTCCCAAGTAATTTAGTTTATAAATGACCCACCTGTGTTTTTCTATTGTATGTGTACCTCTGTTGCTCTCTCTAGTGGACTTATGTTCCAAGGTTGCTCGTGTGTGTATGATCAGGGTAAGGTATATAGAATAGACCATAGCCCTGAAACACCAACAGTAGAGACAGTACCAGGGGTCCACAAACCCTAATACGAGATGCCGTGCCAATTCAAGCAGTGGATGGTAGCCTAGCATAATGACAGCGAGGACAAACTCGTTCAGTTTGTTCCCAAGTGTTTAAATAGAGCATGCGAGCAGGAGGCAGCCAACACCAGCAGCTGCAACACATCTTCCCAGCATGACGTGTCATCATTCATAATAGAGAGAGAGGTAATTACTAATGCAACACTGTACTTTGGGCAATGAGTACAGTGAGTACACTGTACTCACGCCTGCTTCATGGTCACTCAACATGGTAAAAATAAGGACAGAGGGTTGGGCACTGTCTCCATAATTAAGAAAAAGGTTTTAAGTTCCTTGAACCAGAAATCACAAACCGGCACAGTAATGTTGCCGTCCCTAGTGTGCCGTGTATTCCCAGGCAGGGCACTGTCTCAGGACAAATATGGTAGTCATAAGCACCCATTGATAATGACTAAGTGAATCTTTTAGACGATTGTTGTTAATGAAATGATAATTTTAAGTGTTGTATTGTTTAATGCCAATAGACAAATTAGATTAAGAAAGGAGTGACAGTTGTAAGAGTACAGTAATTAAATGTGCTATCAAACAATTAAATCACATGTAGAAACAAATTGTAACTACACCACCAAACTTTGAAGGGAATTGATGCAAATCTAGGCAGAAAAAGATCTAGTACATCATCGAGTAATTATGGTGGTGTACTGCAGGTGAAGAACTTTAGTGAAATAAACCTAACATAATGGCTATGAAGGCTAAAGAAAGGAAGAAAAGGTGCAGAAAACTAACATACCGTACCAAAAGTTCGGGGAATTTTAGAAAAGAATACAACTGGAAAGAAAACCGATATGATAACCTAGATAATAAGTCGATTCAATAAATTACTAATGATTCAAAAAGAAGGCTTAGGAGCTTTGCTGCTTATAATACTGTATACATAGTAAACAATCTTGAAGCTCGTCTAATCAGTAATACTGTACGAGGAAATTTGAAGACCATTCTAAAATAAGATACAGTACAGTACATAATTTTATTTTACACAAGTAAAAATATAGTTAAGGACCGATAGAAGGATAAAAGTTTTGTCTATGCATGATCCTTTGTGGGTCACTGTTGTTCTTCAGTAATTACTGATGCTTTTCCAACATGGTAGGAAGCACCAAGGATGCTGAGGAGTATGATCAGTTACCGGCTAGTGAGTCCAAACGCAGGTTGGAAATCCTTCTTTTGAAAATGGATCGCAACAATGACAAGCAAATAGAACGTAGGGAATTGCATTCTTGGATCCTGCGATCATTCAGGTACCGTACAGTTGTTCTGCAGTGTGCATGATTTGTCCAAACCTATTTACTGCTCTACATTTAAATCTATTAATCATTAGTTGCCATTTCCTACAGTATTCGTTGTCTGTTGCTTCTTGCTTATCACCTGTTGCCTCTTATGCATGTGACTGAGCATGTGACCCCAGTGGCTAGCTTTCAACATTACTGTACATTTCACAGCCATTTTTTTTTTTGCATAGAAACCTTTGGTTTGTCATTTCTCAACTCGAGGCATATGTTGCAATTTGAGATTTAATTGTAATTTCTCTGCATCCTTTTCTGCTTTTTACCCTTGTAGGTTTGTTTTTCATTGCACGAACATGGAAAATCATCATGATTTCCTGTCATTCCACATTCCTCATTATAATAGTTTCCAAAAAAACTAATGGCCTGACACCCCCAGAATTCAAGTTTCTAAGTTTGGTTTGATAACCAGTGTTGCCTTTCTTAAATATTGTACTGTACACCATTCTGTACTGCAGTGGCAAATTATGACCTCTTTCCCATTCAGCGTTTGTGCAGCTGTTTGGTATTGAGCAGCTTTGGGTATTGCTCTGCTTGTTTTGTTTTTGGCTTTGGAAAAATTAGCATTACAGCATTTTTATATTATTCAAAATGAATCACATTTTTGTAACTATAATGGTTAACTATTGCCTACTCCTTTCACAAACATACAATGAGTCTTAATTGCAGAATGCTGTCTGAAGAGGAAAGTTCAGAGCGAATGGATGAGGTAGATGAAGATGAGGATGGCTTTGTCACATGGTCTGAGTACATTTCTGAAACTTATGGTATAACGGATCCCGATGACCAACAACTTCTTGAAAAAGAAGACCAAGCTGAAGAACAAAGAGTAAGTGTATAATATTTTAGCATTACAATAGTTGCCTATGATGAATTGGTGTCTAATGATTTTAGACATCGTATTTGTATTTTTTCCTTGAGGGCTTGGCAGCCATTGTGCCTTTCTTTGGCATCTGTCCTCTGTATAGGTGGCTATTGTGAAATCTTTTCCCTTTTTTGCTATTCTTTGATAACTGATCAGTGTTTAGTACAATACTGTCGGCCTATATAATTCAGCCTTGTTGGAGCCGTTCTTGCTGGTGTTTGGGGGTGGATGTGCTTTTCATATATACTCAAAGCCATGTTTTGCAGTTGCTGCGAGAGGATCGACAACTCTTCAATGCAGCTGATAAGAATATTGATGGACGACTTGATGACAAGGAATTTTTAGCTTTCACCCATCCGGAAGAGCACCCAGACATGCTTCCTGTTGTTCTGCAGCAAACTCTTGACGAGAAGGACACCAACAATGATGGTGTTATTGATTTCCAAGAGTACATTGGTGATAGAGGTTAGTAAGAGCTGTGTAGATTATGGTCTCCAGGTGTTTAAGTTTGATGATAATTGTCCATTAAGCACAAAAGCTTATCTTTAAGAACTACTTTATCATCTGTTGGCTAAATTGGCACTTATTAATTATTGAACTTTTAACTTGTAATGTAAATACTGAGAGCTGTTGTGTGTTACATGAGGTATTGAGGCTGTACAAAAAGTGGAGATTTAATTTAAGACAGATATATGATGAAATTTTTTTTATTTTTAACACTTTGCGCAGCCCGGCGTGTGCGCCCCAGCCCACCCCAAGGTCGGCCTGGCATATCCTGTGAGCACGCTCCCACACTAAAATGTGTATACTCTTTCCAGTATTTTGACATCAATTTTTGTGCTACGTCATTCATTTTGGTATCAAATTGTTTGCAATAGAATTCTCTAAAGGGATATACTGTATGTATACAAGGTCAAAAACCCCGGCGTGTGCCCCCCCCCCCCTCCCCACATCAAACCCGAAAATCGGCCGAGCGTTACCTGTGAGCACGCAACTGCACTAAAATGTATGTACTCTGTACAGTTTTCTGAGCTTAATTTTCGTGTTACGTCCTTTGTTTTGGTATCAAATTGTTCGCAATAGAATTCAGGGGATATATGCATACAAGGTCTTAAAAAAAAAAAAAAAAAAAAAAAACAGGCATACTATCCACAGCAAACCAGAAAATCTGCCGAGTGTTACCCGTGAGCGAGCATCCATCCGCACACCCACAATTAATCTTTTCAGTTTTGTCACCTCAATTTTCTTGCTACATCATCCATTTTGTAATCAAATTGTTCCCAATCAAAAGCTGTGTATTTTAGAACTAGTGCAGTACCATAATAATAATAATAATAAACAATAAATGGAATTTTTACAAATATTTTAATTTTGGACGCTCATCACCACACAAGTATTTATAATCTTTCCATTGTTCTGACCTCAATTCTCGTGCTACATCATTCATTTGGTATAAAATTGTTTGCAATCTAAAGGCACTTATTTTAAAACTACTTAGTCCCATAAAAATTGAACAATAAATGGAATTTTAACATATTTCAATTTTGGACGCAACATGCGTCCCTGCCGGACATTTGTAGAGTTATTTTACGGACGCAGTTTCTGTCCCTGCTCACCGAAAGTGTTAAAACCATGGCCACGTTCTGTTGGGGGATACTGCCTGTCCTCAAGCGAGGCTCCTTCCATCCAACAGTCAACCCCAAAGATACATTCATCAATTTTAACACGTTCATTCAAAATAATAATCTCAAATTTAAATTTATATTACTCTATACTGTATATGCATATTGTGCATGTTTAGGCCTAGGTTAGGTGTTTAGGTTTTGTTGGCAATTACATATACAGTATTTGTAGTACTTGGGTGAAACATTTAGTATTCAATTTGAACAGAGGTAAATAACAAGTGAGGCACTGTTTGAAATGTTTGACCATCATAGGTAGAGTAGTGTGTAAAGTGTTTAGCATTCATAAATCTGGTTTGACGGCTGCTTGGAATCACTTTTGGTCTTTGTTGATGAAGACAGGCTGCACCACCAGTTATCAGCTCACTCACTCACACTATCCCGCATATGTACGTCTGTACAGTGTGTGTGTGTGTAATTACCTAAGTGTAGTTACAGGATGAGAGCTACGCTCGTGGTGTCCCGTCTTCCCAGCACTCTTTGTCATATAACACTTTGAAACTACTGACGGTCTTGGCCTCCACCACCTTCTCACTTAACTTGTTCCAACCGTCTACCACTCTATTTGCGAAGGTGAATTTTCTTATATTTCTTCGGCATCTGTGTTTAGCTAGTTTAAATATATGACCTCTTGTTCTTGAAGTTCCAGGTCTCGGGAAATCTTCCCTGTCGATTTTATCAATTCCTGTTAATATTTTGTACGTAGCGATCATATCACCTCTTTTTCTTCTGTCTTCTAGTTTTGGCATATTTAATGCCTCTAACCTCTCCTCGTAGCTCTTGCCCTTCAGTTCTGGGAGCCACTTAGTAGCATGTCTTTGCACCTTTTCCAGTTTGTTGATGTGCTTGTTGAGATATGGGCACCACACAACAGCTGCATATTCTAGCTTTGGCCTAACAAAAGTCGTGAACAATTTCTTTAATATTTTGCCATCCATGTATTTAAAAGCAATTCTGAAGTTAGAAAATGTGGCATAAGCTCCTCGCTCAACGTTCTTTATGTGGTCCTCAGGTGATAGTTTTCTATCTAGAACCACCCCTAGATCTCTTTCTTTATCAGAATTCTTTAAAGATTTCTCACATAATTTATAGGTTGTGTGGGGTCTATGTTCTCCCATTCCACATTCCATAACATGGCATTTATTCACATTAAATTCCATTTGTCAATTGGTGGTCTATATACTTATTTTGTCTAGGTCTTCTTGAAGGGCATGACAATCATCTAAGTTTCTTATCCTCCCTATTATCTTAGCATCATCAGCAAACATGTTCATATAATTTTGTATACCAATTGGTAGATCATTTATGTAGACAATGAACATCACTGGTGCAAGAACTGAACCCTGTGGTACTCCACTTGTGACATTTCTCCAGTCCTATACATTGCCTCTGATTACTGCCCTCATTTTTCTATCAGTCAGAAAATCTTTCATCCATGTTAGCTTACCTGTCACCCCTCCAATATTTTCCAGTTTCCAGAACAACCTCTTATGTGGAACTCTGTCAAAAGCCTTTTTTTAGGTCCAGATAGATGCAGTCAATCCAACCATCTCCTTCCTGTAAAATCTCTGTGGCTCGATCATAGAAACAGTAAATTCAATACACAGGATCTTCCAGATCGAAAACCAGATCATGTGTGTGGGTGTGTGTGTTTATCTGTCCATGGTAACCAAAACTTGCCAAATACACAATGGTGGATTGAGAACTGAAACTTGTTGGCCATCATCACTGCAACATTTTCCTGGGATAAGAGTCAGTGGTCATAAGCCTCTGGAGATTAAAGGTTAACTGACCAAAGGGTTGTCTGTCCTTTGCTCATCTGTTTATTTTATTTGCATTTTTATAGAAGGTAGGGTAATGGGAATTAATGCAATAAGCAGAACCTGTTTCAATCGGCACACCATTAGTTGCCAACTAGTTAGTGCATAAGCACCAGACACAGGAGAAAATCCAAGAATTTAATTACAGTGGCACCTCGACTTACGATTGCCCCTACTTACGATAATTTTGAGTTACAATGTAAATTTCATCGAAAAATGCGACTCGATATCCGATGATGTCGTTGACTTCCGATATTTGTTGGTACACATTCGGGTCGACCGAGCGCATGGTTCCCAGTCACGCGGTCCGACCTGCCTACAGCTGCCCGCTTAGTGACGATCGCGACTAAGAAATTCTGAGTTTGTAATGATTTTTTGTATTTTGAACATTAAAGTAATTATTATACAGTATATCACACCTGAGTCCCAGGAAAGTCAGTGGTAAGGCTCAACATACGAGATCCCATGTAAGAATGACCATAGAGCAGAAACAAGAGATCATTCGTAAATATGAAGATGGTGTGTGGGTTGTTGAACTGGATAGGCAGTACAACAAATCTGTCAACGATATCCACCATACTGGCTAAGAAAAAGAACATTATGGGTGCTAAAGTGATGCATCATTACAGACAAATGTTAAAACGAAGGGAAAAACAAATGTCTCTTGACAAAATTGTAGCGAGACAAACAAGCACTGAACCACAACCAGGTCCTAGTGGTATTCAGGCAAAACCTAGGAGAGAGAGTACCCCAGAGAAAACATCACTGCCTGATGTAATAATGGAAGGGGACTCTCCTTCCAAAGAGTAACAACTCTCTTCCTCCCCCCCTCATCACCATCTTCCATACGCCATCAAGAGCCCTCCATAAAGGTAAGATAAACTTCGGTACTGTATTGTAGTTAGAAAAAAACATTGCATTCAGTATAAAATGTATTTGTATGTTAATATTTTGGAGGGTGGGGAATGGATTAATTCAATTCCCTTTATTTCTTATGGGAAAAATCGCTTCGACTTACGATCCGTCTCCGGGAACGGATTAGCATCGTAAGTTGAGACCCCATTGTATAGATTATTAGTTGGATGAAAAATATAATTGCATTTATTGAGCAGTAAGATAATATACAACACGTATATAGTACAGTACTGTACTATATTGTTACTGATATAATTACCTCTCAAGTTTCCAATGGCATTTTTATTGAAATATCTATGCAAAACTGCTGTAGTGTTGGCCTGCATAATTTCTTAGGTCTCATTCAGAAACTGCCATAGGTGTGTGATCTGTCAGTACTGTCATAGGATCACTGGAAAGTTGGTAGAAACGTTTTTTGGACTAATGTCTCGGGGACAGTGGTGTTCCTACTGGACCTTAGGTGCTTGGGAGTACATGAAGACTGAGCTGCAAGATAAAGTAATTCATCCAGAATTACTTTTTGCTCCTCATCTATTTCCAAGTACAGTACAAACTTCTTGAAGCTTCAATAGTGTCACGAACAATGGCAGCTGAAGGTAGATTTTGACAATGCCTAACATCTACTCAAGACCACAAGTCTTCTTTGAACAAGCCACATTCAGGTGGCAACACCATCCCTGACCTCTTAAAACCATCCTTACATACTCAAGACACTAGTGACAGTGAGACCTCTTCTAGGTCAACTTTCCTGCCACTGTTACACCAGTAGGTAGCTTTAGGTTTATGTAACTTTAGTTTCATAATTAAGTGGGGGTTCCATTTTTCTCCCTTCAGTGGTGCAACTTTGCCCTTCTCACACTTATCCACTTGCATTAGTCACAAGCTGGGAAATCGTCTCTCTCTGGTTTAATTTGCTTTCATGTTGCTTCATGGTAGGTCCATGTCAACAATTTCCTCCAGTCTACACTTTTTATGCTGTGTAAAAAGACTTCATTTTTTTTTTTTTTTTTATAAGAGGCTATTTTTGGGAACAGTAGAATGGAAGCTCGTAAAATGTTATGATTGTGAAGCTCCTTTCCGAACAATTTTCTGTTGCTGTGCCTTCCCTTCCTTCCTTCCCAACTTCTTTCTCCCAATGCTTTTGTATGTCCCTCAAGAGTCAGGGTGTGTGCAGGGGTAGTACAAGTAGTCAGAGACAGGGTCATGTTAGTGATGCCACTTGGTTGTGGCTTGGTCAAAGCAGGCTTATGTTTTTAGGTTGGTAAGAGTGTGCCATATAATTCCTGCAGTTTGTGATGTTAGTGTAGTTGTGACATGTTTATGCTTGTGATTTGACATTCAGAATAAAGCAAGTTTGACTGGATTGAGCATTTCCAGCAACTCCCAAACACGTTAAAATGGCCATTGTCCTTGGGGCATTGGTGTCTGAATACTTTACTGACCATCCAATGTTCCAATGACAGTGCAGTCAGGTCACATATCTGGAAGCAGCAGATAAACTTGTTCAGAAAAAATGCTTTTGTCAAGTTGAAACATTTTGTTGGATGTGAAAGGAAATTATAAGAGGGGTCAATTTCCAGAATCTGAAGATGAGGACGATGGGATATCCAACCGTGAATTTGTAAGAAAACATAAACCCAAATTTAAGGAACTGGATATAAATAAATCTGGGCTTTTAGAGAAGGAAGAAGTAGGGTCATTGGCATACTCCATCAAGTAAGCATTTAACAAAAGTTTACATAGCTTGTGTGCCACAAGATGAAGTTGAATGCTTAAGCAATAATGGTCAAGTAAAGATTTTTAAATGCTTTTCAGGAATTACTCGGTTATTTATGTGGGCACTGTTGAAATAATGCGTTGTTATCTGGTATTCTTTAAATGCATGGGGTCTGAGTGGTGGTTATTGGTTTATTGTGTTCTGTTGGGTGGTAGTGGTGAACTCTGTAGCAGGTGGTGGTGGGATTGTTCATCAAGGAGCAGTTGGATGTGAAGTGTAAATATATATTACTGGCCAGGAATGGTTAGATTTAACAGGTTATCGGGAACAAAACACTTCCCTTATTGTTGACGAAGATTGTGCTGATGATGGAGCTGTTTACATCCCATAACACTACATCTAGAGGGAAAATAGAGGAGCTTCAAGTGAGCTCCACGTGAAACTTTTGTTTACGTAAAATTTAATGGTGTCTGCCTCCTCCCCGGCAAGGAGAAGGAGAAGAGAAGCTGGCGAGAAGCCCCTCTTGCTGGTTCCTATACTGTCCTTTTATTAACACTTTCGCGCTCCGTAGAAACTCGCGGTTGACTGGGGGATCGTGGCCCCTCCGTGCGGGTAAGCGCGCGGTGACACCCAAATGTGTATACTCATTCCAGTTTTCTCACCTTAATTCTCGCGCTACGTCGCTCGTTTTGGTATCATTGTGTTCGCAATTAAATTCTCTACAGCTGTGTATAAATATAATGTCCAAAAGCCTAGCGTGACTCCCAACAGCAAAGCGTAAAGTCGGCAAAAACGCACAAAATCAGTAACATGTGCATTCTCGTTCCATTTTTTTACCTTAATTCTCGTGCTACGTCGCTCATTTTGGTATCATTGTGTTCGCAATTAAATTCCCTACAGATGTGTATGAATAAAATGTACAAAAGGCTGGAGTGCCTCCCCGCAGAAAAGCCTAAAGTTACCCATGAACGAGCACCATTTTGTACATTGCAACCTAATGTTCAACTCGTTCAATTTGATAACATCAAATTTCGTGCTACGTCGCTCGTTTTGGTATCAAATTGTTCGCAATAAAAAGGCGATTATTTTAAAACTAGTCCCAGAATAATAGAGCAATAACTGGATTTTTAACAAATATTTTAATTCTGGACGCTAATCATCACAAATTTATTTATATCTTTCCAGTGTTCTGACATAAATATTTGTGTCACATCTTTCATTTTGGTATCAAATTGTTCGCAATAAAAAGGCGCACATTTTAAAACAAGTCCCAAGATAATAGGACAATAAATAGAATTTTAACAAATATTTTAATATTCAGACCATAGACCTATTTATAATATTTCAAGTGTTTGGACATCAAGTTTCATGTTATATCTTTGATTTTGGTATCAAATTGTGTGCAATCTAAAGGCGCTTATTTTAAAACCACTACCAGATTGATCTGATAAAATTTAAATTTTTAAAAAATATTGAAATGAGTGACGCAGTATTGCGTCGTTGGAACACATTCAGTAGAAAAATAAATGACGAATTATTCAGTCTGTGGAACGCGAAAGTGTTAACAATGGGAGGTAGACTTTAGTTTGTTAGTAATTATATTAGTCAGTCATAGAGTACATTTTTATTGATTCTAATGTTAGACTGGTGTTTTAAGCGATTCACATTATTATTAGCGGGTGAATTTAATGGTGACATATGGCAATGATTTTCCCATTTTCTTCCACAAATTTTCTTAAGAAAATTCCACTGCTATCTCGTTATCTTTAGATGAATTTGTTAGTAAATGGTCCCGTTTTTCCTACAAAAATTGTAAAATAATTTTGATGAACCGAAACATCTTCGTTTCTTCACTTTCTGATGTGTGATTTGGTCATATCTTCAGTCACATTATTATACATATCTCCTCGTCTGTGAAAGGAGAAAACCCCAGAGGAGGAACAAAACCCTCAGATAACTGAGTTGGTATGGGAATCACAAAAAAAAGGTTAGAAAACATAACTAAGCCAAAGCCAAGGCGATTAAAAGCACTGTACTGGAATCACACGATGTGGCTGACAAACACATTAGTGTGAAGCTTAAATAAAATTTATATTTTATTTTAATAATGATAATTCCATTGAAGAAAACACTTTCATGGAAAAGGATGTTCCAAGAATGGCAAAACCACTTACATTTTCTAAAAAATTTGAGTCCAGGCCCAGCAAGGGTACTTGTGTTGACAACAACAAACTGGGTTTGGAAGTCTCACTGGCAGGAGACCCACTGTGACCCATGTTGCTGCCTATTAGTGATCATGGTAGTTTGGCACAAAGGTTGTGTCTCTAAAAATTGGTTGCTTGTTTTCCAATTGTTTTGCTTGTATCTACTAGCATTGTATGTCTTAGGTCATATTCTAACTTTCGATGTACTGTACTGTAATTCGCTTTGTTATAGGTGATTTTAACCACCCTTGCTTCCATTGTCCCTGAGAGAACACTGGTTCTGGTCCTATGTTCAGTAGACTTTTTATAGTCGGCAAGAGGCCTGACTGTTACTAGCGGCTCCAATGAATCATTGCCTCGGCTAAGGGAAGCCACTGTTAGAGTCCAGCATATAGTGTGTTTTAACTTTTTTTCCATGTTTCTCTTTTTCTTCCCATTTTACTTTCTAGTATTTTTAAAATCCATAATTTATATTTTTTGTTTATTGAATAAATACTCAAGGATGTGGTCTATCATTTGAATTCAGAAAAGCAAAATAATTGGTAATAATTTGCAATAAATGGCCAAATACAAATAGAACTGGAATTATTGGAGTGCCAATTCATGCCTGGAACAAAGGTGGATGTCTTCAAGAGGCCCTTAGACAGGTTCTTGTAAAAAGTGCTGGACCAACCAGGCTGTAGTGGGTATGTGGGCCTGCGGGCCGCTCCGAGCAACAGCCTGTTAGACCAAGGTACAGTATTACAAGTTGAGCCTGGCCCCAGGCTGGGCTTGGGGAGTAGAAGAACTATGGAAACTCTCTCCAGGTATGTCTTGTGAGTTTTAAGACCATCCACAATATTGTTTGGATCACGAGATTTACTGGCATAAAAAACAAAGGCAACCTTTCTTGATTACTGTAATGTGATGAAACTACATCTAGTTATAAATGTTGCTTTTATCACTCCAATCATATTAATTCATCAGTGCAATCATATTAATTCATCGGTGCGATATAGTTTTTAGTGTTTCCTTTTCTTGCCTCGAGGAATTTTGTTTCCTAATGACGTAACTATTTTTTGTGTAGATGCTTTCTTTCCCAATTTTCTTCTTTCTACTTGCACAGATTATCTGGACGTAGGGCATTACACAACTTTACATAAGCCATCACGTACACACAACTCCAGCATCATGCTGTCTGAATTAAGTGTTCCTACTTTTCAAAACTATGGCTGTAGAAAATCTAAATAAAAAAACTCTTTACATATGCCAAAGCTCAGAAAAGCAAATAATAAGTCATTTGAATATCCTTATGAATCCATCAAGCTCATTACTGTATAATAAGGTTGCAAACCTCTACTGTAATTAGATTTGTTTTTAATACAGTACACAATTTTTTTTTAGTTTACATGCATATTCTACTAACTCGGAGTTCTCAAAGTGTAACTTAAATTGAAATGAGAAAAATCTCATTGAACTGTGAGAACATGATTGTTGGAAGCAGTTTAATAGTAAAAGCAGCTTCAGTTATGCAAAGCACACTTGTGATGTGTGAATGTGATCACTGAAGCTCGAGGGGCATTCCCACCAAGATGTTCTGCTTGTGTTACAATTACCACCTGTGTATTAGAACTACTAGAGGCTCTCCTCACTGTTGGTCCTCTTCTGCACCCTCGCACGCAAGTGTTCGTGTGTGCGAGATAGACGTGCATGTTTGCAACAATTGGAATTTTATTGACTAAAACTAAATGTAAAGATACCAACTATGGGAAAATTGTTGATTAAATTTTAGTGAAAGGTATTTACAGTAAAACCAGAAGTACAAAATATTTTGGTAAAGTGTAAAGCTAATTAAATGGCCAGAATTATAATGAGATGTCATTATGGGAAAATATTAATAATTGCTGAAATATTCAGTTGATTAAATTGTTTCGTAACATGACTAATTACATGTAAACTGTCATTGGTAATAATTGCATGGGGGTATGGAAGAAGTTGATAGTATGCACAAATACTGTATGGTAAATTGTCAAATTAGAAATTATATTCAAGATGACTTTGTGTAAGAGCTATATATAAGAGTTTTAATAAATTAAATTAGAGCAATGAGGAAATATAGGTGGTAGTATTAATTATATTAGAAACTATTTAAAAAATGGAATTAATAGCATGTAGAACAATGCATGTATGTAAAGTTAGGACTTCTTGTTCACTTTGTTTGTGGGTAAATATGTGATAATGGGTTTGAACTTTAGCTTAGATAATCTAAAAAGATTGAGGTGAACAGTAAAGTGGTGGTACAGCCTACATATATAAGGAGATACACACGATTAAATTGTGCATATAAACATATATACATAACTTGTATTGCACAAATATGTTAAGAGGTCTGGTATTAATTTGTAGGGTTCCTGACATAGAAATGTTGATACTGCAAGCTTACACGTGTCTAAATTCTTGCTTTGGGAAAAGGCATCCGTTTCTGGTGACTTGTGTGTCTTAGCACTGTGCATGCGTGGTGACTTGCTAGGGCAGCATGGGTGTAAGGTGTTACAATGTAATGATGGTTATCACGCCAGGTTTGTATCTTGTTTGAGCATCCCTGTTATAGGGCTTTGTGTGTGTGGATCATAAAACTGGTGGTGGTCGACAGGGAAGGAGCAAGATCGTGAGTGGCTGCTGACCGAGAAGGACAAGTTCGACCATGAGCACGACAAGGATGGTAATGGCATCTTGGACCGCAATGAAATCCTGGCGTGGGTCGTCCCAACAAACGAGTAGGCCTCTTATATGTTGCAATTTTCTTTTGATAATTTATATTTTTGCATTCACATCTTGTTAATTTTTACAGCTTCATTTGCAGGCGATGAGTCACAATAACGTGGCTGAAGTATGTTGACCAGACCACACACTAGAAGTTGAAGGGACGACGACGTTTCGGTCCGTCCTGGACCATTCTCAAGTCGACGACGAAACGTCGTCGTCCCTTCAACTTCTAGTGTGTGGTCTGGTCTACAGCTTCATTATTTCTTCAGTCATTGTTTGCTAATAATTCACTTAAGCTATATGTTTCATAGTCCAAGAGCTTTCATTAGATACTAATACGTAAAAGAAAAAAAGTTTTTTATTGCTAGCAATACCTATTCGACATTTGATTAATGTTGAGTTTAACAAATGGTCAAGTAAAGATGTTCGGAATTACACAAAGCATTTTGATTCCATATTATTTACACTGTTCTTTTAATAGGCACTTACAAATTTAATGTTAAAATTTTGATAAATGATGAGTAATGTGTCGGGGTGGTTTCATATTGATGATCCATATAGGGAACATTCACCTACAAGAAATAATCCGTGAAAGGCCTGGAAGTATATATAACCCCAACATTAACACCAGAAGTTGGCAAATATAAGAAAGACATTTAAAAATGTAAACAGGGAGGCTTTTAAGTCTATATACACTGTATTTATTTGAGGCTGTTACTAGAGTTTGCAGCACTCGCTTGGAATCCGCACCTTGTTAAGCATAAAAAGAAACAAATGTACAGAGACTTGTATAATAATAATGCATTGTCAAGGGACAGGCAGCCTGTGTGTGTGTGTTATACTGTATGTATATATGCGCGCGCACACACACACGTTAGGCTTATATACATCATCTTTTGCAATATTATGCAATGAATAAAATTCAGAAGTTTATCAATATGTTTTATAAATTTGTCTTACCACTCTTGCAGGCAGCAATAATGAACTGAGAAATTTGGGGTGATAACTCAAGTGGTAGTAATCTGTTGTTTAATTTTGGGAGATGATTTGTCTTTCTGAAGGGCATCTATATGAAGATTATTGATTATTGTCTTTGATTGGTGTTTTTAACACTACAAATTAGTTACAGGTTGAACAGGTGCTAAATCAACTTGTCTGTTACCAGGGACATAGCTGAAGATGAGGTGGATCATCTATTTGGCGCTGCAGATGATGATGGAGATGACTTGTTGTCATTCCTGGAGATCCTCGATCACCATGACGTGTTTGTAGGATCCGAGGCAACAGACTATGGTGACCACCTTCATAATCTAGATCGCTTTGAGGACGAGTTGTGAGAAAATTGGTAATTTTTTTGATAGCTATTGTGAGGAGGGAAGATAAAGGCACTTACAAGATATAGCATAGATGTTAAGGTCTGAACTGTCTTCAACTGGTGCACCGAGTTACTGTAGTAAGACTCTAAATATCAAGAAGCCCAAAAAAACACCAACACTAAACAATTGCCTTGGTGTTGAGAATGGTGGAGGCAGTGTTGTTAGTGTTTATTTTCCTTTGTATTAGGGTGTTTTTTTTTTTTTAAGCCATAAAGGCAGGAGGCAATATACAGAAGGTCTTGTGACTGGTGTAGTTTGGTCATCACTCACTACCTCAAGAGACTGGCAACCTTCCTTCAACATATTGGTTGCTGATGGTTGTTATGAAACTGTCCTTCTGTATTTTCCCGGTGTCTTTCAGGTTGTCTCTGAATAGAGTAATGAAAGTTAAGATTTGATAATTACCATTGCAAAAGGCAGCTCTAGTTAAACCAAATCATTAGGTGCTTATTTAAATATTTGCAAGAAAGTGATCATAAACTTGTTCAGAGTGAGAATTTGTTAAACTAACATCCTTAATCATGAAATGTTTTGATGTTGCAGAGATGTGATTCACATTATATTGTTTGCTTCCAAAGCATATAGTGAACATTACTAGTGTTGCTAGTGAATATGCATTAAATGAATGAATTGGAAGCTGTGAAAGTTTGTTATTTTGCCACAATATTTGTCACTACTGTATTTGTCTTCCTTTCTTGCCAAGATACATTCATCTACAGCTTTATTCCTACATCAGTTTTGTTTTATTGTGTGTTAAAGTGGATAGCTATAGGTGAATGTACAATATTGTGTGTGTTAAAGTGGATAGCTATAGGTGAATGTACAATATTTGCTTTAATGAATAAATAAGAACCTACATTTTTGGAACAATGGGAGGTCTTGTATAAATGTGCATATCTTTAATTAAGAGTAGATTACTAGAAATAAATTTAGAAGTACAAGTGTCCAGATATGTTGTTGCAGCTTCACTCTTTGTGTATGTAGTAATGAGAAGGTGAAATATGCAATTAGAAGTACAAGAGAGGTAGATATAAAACTATGTTGACATCATTGATTTTTTAAATGTACGTGACAAGAGGCCAAAGTGTTTTGGGCCGTCTTTATTTAAATTTTGCTATTTATTCTTTTATATGCATATTTAATTATGTAAAAGTATATAATATCAACACAATTACAGAAAACTAACTTATTTCCTATCTTGTCTTGTGTGTATGTGTTCGGTTAATGTATAGTGTTTTGAATTTGCCCTTATCAGTTACCAAAGACATTTATATAAACGACACATTATATGAGCTGTATGTAACTGGCTGTATGTGCTGCACGAGTCTTTCTTTTCCTACACTTCTCTCAATAAAATAATATTAAAGCATAAAATTCTGATATTAGCAGATTTATTATGTATTCTGTAATAAAGGTCCTTTACATGTACCCTTCATAGGGCATTATTAAGTGATGGAATTTGAAACACTTTATACTGTAAAGCAAGTATGATGTACAGCCAGGTGTAATTTGACTGTTTACCCCTAAGTGCCATGTGTCTAATAAATGTACATGATTTTTGTGGAGTCTTACTTACGGCAACATTTGGGAACGAGTACCACGACTCTTGAGATACGTTACCCATTGCCTCAAGATAACATAAATGTGGAAAAAAAAATGTGGAAAAAAAAAGACTACTTGTACCGCTAACCTTAATGAATTGATTCTAGAGTATCATTGCCTTTATTATTTAAGAATAGAGAACACCTTTGTAGTCTGCACAAGCCAAGATGAGGCAGCAGTGTTTTATAATTTTCTGATGTATGTGGTTATTACATCAAGGCAAAGTTTTGGTCAGGAATAAGATGAGTGAGTGGGTGAACCTTGAGAACCTTAGAGTTGAGGAAGTAAGCCTTGATATCCTGGAGGTTGAAGAGGTAAACATTTGACAGTCCTCTGGGTAAGAGTGGGAACTTTAATGGCCTTGAAATTGAAATTGAAATAAGTTTATTGAGGTAAAATACACACAAAGGGATGAGGTAGCTCAAGCTATTCTCACCCCGTTCAGTGCATAGTCTTAATACATACATAAACACACATCACAATAAACATATTACCGAACATTCTGAGAAATGGCCTTGAAGGTAAGGGGATAAACAAGATTAGAGTCGTGTTGCCATGTTAGGCCTGCACTTTTGTAGCACCCAGTGACCCTTCCTCAAGGAAGCCATATATCTGATAAGTCAATAACATATGGTGAAAAAGACTTCTCAGCTCTTAACTTTTGTGCAATGGTGCATTTGATTTTCTCGAGCTAAAAATCGGTACCGATTGTGTTCACTTAATATGTGAATAGGCCCACATCAATATTGGGAGCCCTTTCAAATATACACAAACTCTTGCTCACGTGTATCTCTACTGAACGGTAGAAAGTAAAGTCTACCTTCTAGCAGGTCGGCGTTCAATCCCCAAACGTCTAAGTGGTTGGGCACCATTCCTTCCCTCTGTCCTATCATTAATCCTTATCCTCGTATCCCTTCCAAGTGCTATATAGTTTAAGTGACTTGGTGCTTTCTCCTGATAATTTCCTTACCTTATCTTTTGAATCAAATCACCCATGAGGGAATTTATTTGGAGAAGTAAGGTGTTATTAAAATATAGTGATGGTTCTTCATTTCCACCTCTGAATCCCTCAACCCAGATATATAAACAAGAACATACAGAAAACATGTAAAAATAAACACATGCATCAGACACACAAATACATTCACATACAGTATGTACCTGGAGCATTTGTACATACTACAAATATACATATTGTATAAGTAGGCAGATTCACACTCTGTCTTTCCACACACACACACACACACACACACACACACAGTATTGATTTTTCCTGTCTTGTCATCCCCCCGTCTCCCGGGCAGTGTGTGTAGCCTTAAGAGAAGAAGCCCTGCATCAGTCTCGTCATCCGCACTTCACAGTAAGCCACGAACGGGTAAGTCTCGAACTCGTTCCTTTTTTTCTTTACTCTTTATACCTCTTTGGGCTAGACAGTAGAGCTACGGTCTCGCTTCACATAAGACGGCGTTCAATCCACGACCGTTCAAGAGGTCAGGCATCATACCTTTCTGTCTGTCCCATCCCAAATCTTTATCCTGATTCATTCCAAGTGCTATATAGTCATAATGGCTCTGCACTTTCTACTGATAATTACCTTCATTGTACCTCTTAGGTATAGGGAAGATTAGATTAGGTAATTCTCTCCAGGTGGCCTATTTTTTCCTCCAAATATGTCAGATATGACCTAAATAACCTGTTTACCGATTTCAACAGTTTAGCCACTTGCACACGTTCTTAGCTAATGTGGCTTTTTAGAAGGTTGGCTGCTATTACAGTGATTGTAACTTTAACTTGTATGATACATTTCTGCATCAATTAGCATTCATGAATCTCTTCAATTTTTTTTCAAGTCTGCTGTGTACAGTACTGCATTTTTCCCCACAAAGTATAATTTTGCTGCAACATTATCTTGCAATCATCATAACATGCTCAACATTTCAATTACCAACGTGAATCGTGTCCCCAGGTCAGAGAAGATTGGCCGTGGCTCCTGAGATTGGGTGCGAGAGACAGGACGACCTTTTTTCCACAAATGTTTGTGAATCGGGTCAAGTCCTTGCCAGTGATGCATGATGCTCTTTCCCTGGCTTCCTCCCTCTACCACACCACCAAGGTCAGGACCTCCAACTGGCATATCTTTATTAGTATCAGTTTATGAAAGAGTGGAAATAAAGGACAGGATTTCTGTTGACATTTACTTGGTTTCCCATAGCTGGGAAGAGGAGAGCTGATAGGCTTATCAAGGTCCCCCCTTCCCCTAGGTCACCTAGTGACCATTCCCAGGATGCAACCCACAACAGTTGCCTAACTTCCAGGCACATATTTACTGCTAGTCAAATCAGGTTAAAGGAAAAACGCCCAAACATTTCTCGTTTCAGGAATCGAACACAAGACTTATGTTGTGAACAAGCCGAGTCTACAAGTAATGCTTGATTAAAAAAAACAAGATTGGCACCTGGAGTTCATGAGATAATGTCAGTTGTAAATATTAGTTCATAATGAGTACCACTGGAGTCCACTGCCATGGAGTGAGTGGTAAAGGAACATATCAGACTGAAATTCTGAAAGAGTAAATAAATCATTGAAGGTGTGAAGAAACTATGTACAAGAGTCTGAAGGTCGTGATTCGGTATAGGACTTTTGTGGAAGCGAGTCATGAGGGAAGTGAGAACCAGTGCTAATGACAAGAGAAGTGGAAACCAAGCTTATTCATAATAAACACTAACTCGTGAATAATGGAATTATGGAGATGTACGTCAGGAATTCATTTACCGGTGATTGAAAATTACCAACTTCCCTGTTTAGTATAACAACTCTGTGGGGCCACAGCACTGGCTTTCTTAAATAAAAAGAGAGGAGTTTGCTTTTTTGTCAGAATCTGTACTTCCTAGATAGCACACTTCCAGGAGAGTTGGGCACAGTCTAAATTCCATGAATGTATTTCTAGAGCTGAGGGTGGCACATCAGAAGAATGGGGAGAGCAAGTAAGGAAATTTAATAGAAAATGTGTCGAGGAACAAGAAAATTGGATGTGCAGCAAAGAGCATAAACATTTTCAAGTCTGCTTTGACAAATCTCCACCTGAGGGAAGTGAGAGGTGGAGAAAAAATAATGGGATGTAATAATAGGCAAACGGTTGTTGTTAAGGAAACTGTCAGGGGGGACCTGCCAGTTAAAGGTAAATGGAAGAATTGTAAAGAAAAAGAATAATGCCAGAAAATGTACGAGCACAAAGAAAGAATAAAGGGTTCTCATAGATGGCTACGGGTATCAGTAATGGAATTGCTCCGTGGTGATTAGTAAAATCAAGGTTAGGAGGCATGTGTACACTCACCTATTTGTGCTTGCGGGGGTTGAGCTTTGGCTCTTTGGTCCCGCCTCTCAACTGTCAATCAACTGGTGTACAGATTCCTGAGCCTACTGGGCTCTATCATATCTACATTTAAAACTGTGTATGGAGTCAGCCTCCACCACATCACTGCCTAATGCATTCCATCCGTTAACTACTCTGACAGTATAGCAAACTTAGAGGAATAGCTCAGAAGAGGCAAGGACAGGAGATTGATCATGTACATAATGGGAAAAAGGAGAAATAGAATGGACTCTGATACTGCTCTTGAACCAGGATGTTGCTAAGCTCCAGAAGGGTGAGTGTGACAAAAGGGTCAGATTAACAGATATCTGGCTTCCACTTCTGGATGATATATGGTGGTTCAGTGTTGAGCATTTGTGACCCTAATGTACAGTAGTTTGCAATCTCATTAGCAGTTGCAGATGAAGATGTATGTTGGGATGAATATGACTGGGACATATTCCATAAGAAGCTGGTTAAAGAGTAGATAAAACAAGGTACAGTAGCAACACTTTGGCATCCCGATGACGCTCTCAGTGTGGTGCATTCATTTTTGCATATCTTATTATTAAGTATAAACATTGCGAGTAAAAGAGTTGGGTTGTGTGCTCATCGGCAAGGCTTGGCCTAAATTCCGATGCGATGCAGATGGCCCGCCGGGCCAGCGAATGTGTTAAGACATGGGAGTATAATACTTGAACAAATGACACAACCATAGCTGTTGACAAGAAACTGATGCTTGTTATGCCTATTATGGAATTAACAATCTGGAGACATTACCAGAGAAGCAGCAGTAATCTAGGCGTTTCTTACAGGACAAGCAGTATGTGGGTGTAGCTGTGCAGGTGGCAGCGGTGGCTGTGGGGGCTACAGCCAGCAAAGCTTTATCTCTGGCCTCACCCCTGGTGGAGCAAGGGGGTAGATGGGCAGCCCTAGATGAATTGGCATGTAAAGGTCTTGACTGTGTTAAACAGGCAGTGCCAATCATCACTAAACCAACTAAAGAAGTAAGTAAACATTTATATGTGAAAAGAAAAGCCAAGCAACTAATCTGAAAAGCAGGAAGGGTGGGTCTTATTGATAATATGACTGACACAAATATTTTATTAGTGACATGATCATGTTTCCCAAACAACCACAATATAATCTTTTTTTTTTTGCTAGCTTTATTGATATATACTTTCTCTCTCTGTATTCTGATATGCCAGGGTCTCTGTCTCTCTTACTATCTCTATACACATTACCTATGTGTAGAGAGAGAGAGAGAGAGAGAGATAGTAAGTACAACTAAATGTCATTATGAACAAGATTATTTTCACTTACAACAATGTGTTCAGAATGCACAACATTCATGCTTCAAGCATATCACTAGTATCACTACATGTCAAGAAAATATAAAAAAATTATATTGCATCTCTTTTTAATGTGATCTGTAATAGCATATGAATTTCTGGGTTGGGATCGCTAGGTAGCTGCCCTGGGTTTAGCACACAGGGATACATAGGACAACTTGGCATGCTGAGGGAGACAAACACATCCCTTGTCCACTCCTCATGGCTAGGGCTCGTGGGGATAGACAACCAGCAGACCACCAAGGTCAACCACAGGTGAAAGAAATTTATAGATGTTTCCTTTCTTGGTGGTTGACCTCAACAGTAGATTGATCTTTGATTTCCAGCTATTATGAAAGGGTCAGCACAGTTGTGTGCTTGTCCCTGGTGTGTTAAGTTTGTCAACGGGAGCCTTTGAATCTTCACTGTTCCCAGTGCGGTATGACGAGGGGGAACTACAGAGAGCATACATACATACATACTATACATACATACTGTACATACATAATAGCATAGCATACATACAGCATACTGTAATTTCATTACAGTATGCTTTTTTTTAATTTGCTCATAATATTGCAATAAAATATATAAATTTTAAAATAAAAAAATATCTTGAATAAAACAAAATGTGTGTAATTATATATACTGTATAAAAGTACAATATTTTAGTTATCTTTGGGGGAATAATTTAGCATTACCATTACCTGCATTAACCTAATTAATGTTCCTGCACCAGATTGTGAGTATTACCCGCAATGTGGCACTCTCTGCCCTGGCTGGTGTTAACACCTCGGTGCCTCCACCCACCATCGGAGCCGCCCTTGCCTCTCGTACCACTCGAATGGTAAGATTCACTATTTTTAATGTCATTTACTGTCTATTTTTCAACGTGTGAAAAATTCATCTTGTGAATTGCTTGAAACTCGCACTGTATCTAGTGCTACCCAATTCCTCAAAATTTTTACCTATGCTATACAACTTTACCAATGTAATCATTGCTGTTATCTTATACTGTATCATGTTATACACATAGTTTACCACATTATACCCTGCAATAATCCTCAAATTATGCTACAATGTACCTGTGGATAACCCTTAAATTTACTTTAATGTACAGGCACCTACCTTTTTTTTCTGTCAAATTTCTTATACCATATATTTTTTTTATACTTTTTTACAATGTACCTATAATTTTTTTTTTAATTTTGCCAAAAATTACTGTCTTAAAATTGTGTTAAATTAACCACTGCACTGCGCAACACACCTCAGGGATCTTATAGGTATAGCGTATGATTCAAAACTCCTGCGGCTACATGGGGTTCACATCAGCGTCCTCCGGGTTCTTGTAAACAGACGCCATTTTTTTTAAAACGTGGGCAACATTCCCAGGTGTCAGAGCCTCAGTACTGAGTGAGCAACCAAGGCTGTCTCACGCAGCATGAGCTCACAGCACTGCTGTTCAGCCTGTGACCACAGCATCGCCTAATAATGTCAAAATATATACTGTATGTTACTGGTATTATTTAGCCATGATAGTATTACAGAAGAACCTGAGTGTCATAATGACTGTGTACAATATTCAAATATCAGTGAAACAATGCTGTTCAAGATGTTCACAGCGCTAGCCACAGCACTATTTCGACCATCTAGGAACCTTCAAACGACTTATTATGTTCCTTTACAACATAAGCTCATGGTCAATTATTCATTTACATGATTTAGTGACCAGGATTGTGATAATAGCAGGATTGTAGTGATAATTAGCGCTGTGCGTAGTATTGTGGGAGAAGGAATTTTGGTGAGGGAGGGAGGAAATTGAGGTAGCATCACTGTGTGTGGCAGCCACTCTTGTTTTTCTCACCATACTAGCTTAGTGGTTTGCTATGGTGAACACAAATGTACATGGATATATACAATGTGTGTATATAGTGTAATAACAGCAACAGGAATATGTTGGGATGAGCCATTTTGGTGAGGGAGGTGGCATTGTACTTGTAGCATCGTCGTCTGCTGTGTGACTTGTCGTGCAGTGTATGGTGGCCACTGTACTGTTTGGACATGATACCAGCTTAGTTGTATAGTTATGGCGAATAAAACATGTAGACACGTATATACGTGTGTAAATAGTGTAATAAAAACAATAACAGTATGGTGGGAGGAGGAATGTTGGTAAGTAAAGTGTTGGAGGAGTGAGAAAGGGCTGACTGGGTGTGGCAGCTCATATTCGCTGAGTTCTGAGTGTGTTGATGGGGAATGTATATAGTGTGTAAATATGTTGTAAATATACATAAATGAACATGAAACATTGGAAATATGAGCATTATATGTGCACACATTTAACCCAGTGTCTTGAGACAGTATGGATGTTCTACTGCCATAATATTGTGTACATGTTCATTATACATAGGATTGGCAAGAAAAAACAAAACAAATGTATTTGGAAATGTACGCAAAAAATGAACAAAAAATTATTTGTGGCAGCTTGCGCATGTCGAAGTTGGCGCGCGACTGGCTCCAGGAGTCTATGCCATGGGCGACGACCAAATCGTGATGTCACACGTCATTTTCCGGACCCTATATGCCATATTTGGGTGCCATATTTGGAGCCCGAACAGCACAGTGGTTAAAGATATGCCCAAAACGTTATGCGTGCTAGTGGCTTTACAAGAAAGTAAAACTTCATTGCTCTGTACTCTCATAAACTCTATGTACCTTCTTGTATATAAATAAATAAATAAATAAAGTGTGTAACCAATACTGTATGACCGAATGTACTAATAATCCACAGCGACTTCAGGCATGATTAGAACTTTTAAGGAAAATCTTCAGGGGAGGAAAATTTCCTTGCTTTTGAGTGCTGGAATATTGCTGGAAGGGCAAGTGCTGTCAACAGCAATATACAATTTTTTTGTTGCAATAGTAGCATTGGCACATGGCATTGGCTATTTTTTCCACTATTATCCCAGCAGGACTGTGTTTTTTTATTTTCTGGTTTGGATGCTGGGGCTGCAAGGACCTCCTACTGATTTAAATGTTCAATAAAATCAGGATTGTGTATTCCTGCTGAATCACCCAGAGGTACTGGTTGGATTTCATTTGCAAGGTTATCCAATGCACGGGAGGAGGAAAGTAAGGCTGGTAGCACAATCTGGAAGGCTATGTGAACAAGGATGCCAAGTCAGGAAGGGTCGCTTCTTCCCACTCAAGAGTTATTTATACTTTCTGCAGTTGAAGATTTGTTAATTACTCAACATGTCCTCTCTGATAATACATCACATTTTGACATGTAAATCCCCAACTGCTAAAATATACTGTACTATAAATCATAGTGGGTTGCAAAATTCATGGTCTGTCCCATTTTCTATTCACGAGTTCTCGATTAGGTTAGGTTATGTTCAGGCAATTTAGTACATAATTTTTGTGATGTTATGACAACTCAAGAGGATGGGCTGAATTACTAGCTTTTAGAGGAACCTTAGTTTTATAGCACTATCCTGTTGAATATTTAAAATATTAATACTGAACTGTATATATATTCTTGATAAATTTACAGATGTGGTGTGTGGCCGAGAGCAAAGGAGGTCGTGTGGCACTGAGCACGGCAGGCAGTCTTCTGGACACAGCTCATATATATCTAGACACTTATCTACCTCCTGCCAAAGTTGATCTTTATAATTCAGGTGCAATGATCAATGTTTGTGGTGTGACACTTGTCTCTTATCAGTCATTGCAAGACTCCCTTATCTTGAAATCTGTGCTTTCTCTTTCATTAACACACTACTTCCTGTACTATTAACAGACTTTCCCTCTGTCTACCACCTCCACTAATACCCTTCCCCTCCCTCTACCTTCTCCACTTATACCCTTCCCCTCTCTCTACTTCCTCCACTAATATACTTCCCCTCTCTACTTCCTCCACTAACATACTTCCCCTTTCTACCTCCTTCACTGATACCCTTCCTCTCTCTACCTCCTCCACTAATATTCTTCTCCTCTCTCTCTACCGTCTTTGCTAATACCCTTCCCCGCTCTACCTCCTCCACTAATATCCTTCCCCTCTCTACCTCCTCTACTAATATCCTTCCCCTCTCTACCTCCTCCACTAATATCCCCCCCCTCTCTGCTAATATCCTTCCCCTCTCTCTCTACCTCCTCCACTAATATCCTTCCCCCCTCTCTGCTAATATCCTTCCCCTCTCCCTGCTAATATCCTTCCCCTCTCCCTGCTAATATCCTTCCCCTCTCCCTGCTAATATCCTTCCCCTCTCTCTCTACCTCCACTAATATACTTTCCCCTCACTCTGCCTACTCCAACCATTACTTTCTATTGTACAAGCTTGTTTAGGGATTTATCACTGGCTTTCTTATGTAATTAAAACATTAAATATTTTGTAAAAAATATCTATATGATAATCTGTACTGTATAACAGACTACTCCCACACTCAAAGTTTTGTGTATTCCGCAGATGGCCAAGACGGGCCACTTGGAGTGAAGATGGTAGCACTGAGCAATAAGACACGTCGTCGTTTCAAACGGTGTGTCCATACTCGCCTCAATGTCAACTGTAACCAAGACCTGGATGATGATGATGATATTATCATCACTTCTGGCCACTTGGTCAGTGTCTCTCAAGTTGTTCTGTGTATGCTTTTATATATTTAAGATGAACTTGTTGAATATGACTAAAATATATTGTAAGGTAATTTTTGCCAAAATTACCACGAATCAATACTGGTATCACTTAACAGTAGCTCAACAGAAGTATGCTCATTGAATTCCCAAATTATTAGCTTGATTTGCTGTTCTAATTTAACCATAAAGCTATGATGCTTTACTGTATAAATCACAACATAATTCAGGGAATAGTAACAATATGCTGTAATTTCTGGAGCAAAGTTAAAGACGTTGCAATTTGACAGCTGGAGCTTGGACGACGCTCGCTGCTCAACTGGCACCATCACATGAGCCAGCTGCACTACACTCTGCTTGTGACAGGAATTGCAAATAGACTCAGCACACTGGTGATGGACAGAGTAAACACAATGCACACTGCTGTTGTACATGGCATGGGCATAGTCCACACATTGGCTAAAGTTGGAGTGGGACAAGTGTTGATGATGGTTACAAGTGACAGGGCAGATTTAGTGATGGTGGGTGGGTTTCACATGGTGATTGATGTTGTGGGGAACACAGTGTGCTTCATGAATAAGGCAGTGGCAAGAGGTGTGGAACTGGCTCACATTATAGTAATAAATGGAAGGTATCTATCTCAAAGGGTAAGGAAGGATCGATTGGATGTTGTGTGTGCTGTGACGGTAATGGGAGATAAAATGATACAGTGCAGGATGATGGAAGTGGCAGACATGGCAGGCACTGTATTGGCAGGTGGAATGGGCATAGCTCATGAAGTAGTGATGAAAAGCAAAGGCGTGGCACACAGCTTTACATCCAGAAGCAGGAAGACAATAAAACAGATAGCAAGCTTCATTCACCCTACCGTCACCAGTTTAGCTCTCTTTGAATATGCTCATCTGAGAGCTGTTATTGCTCATTTGAAAACACAGCAGCAAGGAGTGATCGACCAAGTTGCTCTTGGGTATGCATGGGTTATCCCAGAAGTGAGGGCATGGCTGGCCTCTCTCATTCATCTCCATTTATCTTCCAATCACAAGGTGAGTTTATTGATAATTGCTCTTGCTAACTTAGTTTTTGTTAACAATTTTTATTTTTTGTTCACAACAATTGTCTCCAACTGATATACTGTACTATAATTTACAAGAGGCACTAATTGTAATGTATAAAATAAGGTGAATTTTATATTTAAATGTTCTAAACAAGGTTAATGTTTTTGGTCATTCAAAGAATGATGGTGAATCCAGATGTCTAACAGATGTAGCAAAAGATTCCATAAGGAATGATGCTGAATTTACAAACACCCAAAAATTAAAAGAATAAAAGTTGAGAGTGAGTGAGTTTTTTGATGTCTATAGAAGGGGAAATTGTTAGTGAATTTTGAACAAGAGATTTAATTAATGACAAAACTCTTTGGATATGAATCATAAGGTTTGTGGTACTGAAAAAACTGGTAGGAGAGAGGAAGTAGCAAGAACATTTAGTAAGCAAAATGATAATTGTAGTGGATATGAGTAGAGGGAAAGTGACTAGTAAGTAATCATCAAAAGGTGCCAAGCCCAGAAAACTATAAAGAGCCTCCTCGCTTGAAGGCAGTACTCATGAGCGGGGTCGTCCACTTTCTCCAAAGATCTTTGCTTCATCTGTGACTTTGATGTAATTCAGATATCATCCATGTCATTAATGTATACAATGTTAAGAAAGGTTTTGATTCTAAAATGGAACCATACAGTACTTTGATCAAGACATTTTTCCAGGCTGGTTTCTTAATCCACATGCATGTAATTTGTGGGACAGTGCTAAATGTGGTGCATAGAATGTATATCAGGATAGCAATTATTAGAGTACAGAAAATAACCGAGAAATTGGTCAGTAGTGAACAAAGTGGGTTATGTGGTTGAAAAGGTTGTGTAATCACCTTTTCTAATTTAGACAGTTAGTAGACAAAGCATGTGAGAGATTATAAAATGTATTTAGGCTTCATGGCTTTGCAGAAAACATGTAAGTGATTGGAGGAACTTTTGAAGTGATTAGTATTGATGGAATTGATAGACTGTTGTTAAGTGCTGTGGAGTTTTTAATTCAAGTAATGAAGCACGTTTAGGAGTTTATGGTGCAAGTAGGAGGATACTCAGCATTGCCTGGATGAAGGACGGGCTAACCTCCTTTGATTAGCAATGTCTCTCCGAACCCAAATTTTTGTGGTTGTAGATTATCGTACATATTCACTACACATGATATCCACCTGGGCTATCACCATTTGATAACAAAAGTTTGGTTCTGACAAGGCCCAGGGTCCTACCAGAATCCAAATTACATTTGGAATCTGTTAAATTGTGAAGGCCAACCTGTGACCACACCCTGATTAGATTTTCCATCATGCCCTGTTTGGTTGAATTAAGGTTAGCCAGACACTTTTGAATCATTATTGTATGTTTATTGATTGGCTAAATATTAATTTAGTGGTATGCCAGAGTTGTGTAATGACTTCAAGGCTGTTTTGTGTGTAGATGGAGTGTGAAGAAGGTTGGGGTTACAGTTAATGCAATTAGAAAAAATTAAGAATAATGTATAAGCAAATTAATAGAAAGTTTTGTTGATGTATGCAAAAGGAGATGGCTTCAAGTGAACATGGACAATCGCACGAGTGAGGAGAAAGTGGCAAGCCATTACGACTATACTGTATAGCACTCGGAAGGGGTCAGGATAAGGATTTGGGACAGAGGGAAGGAATAGTGCCCAACCATGAGGATAGTTGGGATTGAATGCCTATCTGCATGAAGCGAGACCATCGCTCTACCTTCCAGTTTGAGTGGTTGGACGTTTGAGAAGAGTACAGAGATAGCTTGGTCATGAATCCTTATGCATTGCACAAGCTTTATTAATACATGACTAATGAAAACAATGAATAACACTTGAATAATTTGTCATGCAAATGCAATGTGACAGTGGTATTGTATTATAGAATTGACTTACACAAGCTTTTTGTTTTCAGGTACATGAAGAGTGATTTTTCCAGGATAAAGTTGCAGATGCACCAGTGCAGGTGGTGGATGTGTTGCAATAGGGACCTTGAAAATGGACATTTTCTCTCACCTGATTAACATTCGTCAAGTACAGATACTTTGTTGTTCCCTCTACTTTACATTTGTATTAGCCTTATTCTTTAAGCTATTCAAAGTAATAGTGTGAGATGCATGTAACAAATGTTTTAAGATTATTTAAGTGTTTTAGGGTGCAATGTGAACACAAGGGTAACGGGAGTAGAATGTGAAAAGATCAGTCAAGTACTGTATAACAAATATGATGATAATTTATAAAAATTGTTAAGGAAAGTAAGCACAGCCGAGAGACTGGTGGATGAGTAAATGGGAATGATAATCATTAGAATGGGAAGTCAACAGTTGAATGTTGAATGTCCTTGTTGAATGTCCCGACGTCCAGGACGAGCGTGTCTTGCTTTCAGACTGTACTTGGCAGTCGCATATCTCTCGATAGAATTCTTGGCGAATTGGATACTTATCGTTCGACTTGCACGTTTCTGTTCTCGTATTGGCATCCTTGGTGATATTTAGCACCCTCCGATTATTCCGCACATTTGATGTTGCTACATAGCCTTCCCGGTTTGGTGCCTTCTTGATAATTACTTGTGAAATCGGCTCCAATACACAGCATGCAGAACATGAACCTTAGTCCTGGCTTTGTTGCAGTCAACTGTTCCCTTTCACAGTACAGGTGCATACTTGCTCTAACCGTCCTAACTAATGTGATCTGACTTTGTAGGAAAGTGACCTTATAGGGAGCAAAATTCTTTCATCACTAGATTAATCTTCATCAGTTTTCTTTAATTTTACATTTCTATTTATACCCTTTTCCTTCACTGTTCCAGTTTCTCTCTTCTTGCCTTTTTGTTCTTTTCATCATATCTTTATTAATTCATCTGTTATTCTGTCTTTCTATTTCATAACGTGCCATTTTCATTTCTTCATTTTCTGATGTGCTGTATCACAGGTCACTATCTCTCATGCCCCCCCCCCCTCCATTTAAATAGTTATTCATTATCTTAAATTAGGAAATGAATACTAGTATTACATTTATTGAATATATTTATATATATATATAATCATAAAATATATCAATTTCATTTTAACAAAAATTGGATATTATACATCTACAGAGAAGTAAAGAAAACTTTGGCAATATAAAAATAAGAATGTTTGGTAGAATCACAACAAAGTTTTGAAAAGTCTGCAATTGGGTCACATCACCTGGTGATTCTCCAGGTACTAGGAGGGCTCACCAAAAATCAAATGGTGATGGGTGAAAAACTATAAAATGGGGACACTACTTACCCCAATAAATTTTGAAATTATATAAATTTCAGATTGGAATAGCAAAATGAACTGGCCTTTGTTACCAACGACAAGTCCCAGTACATGTGAACATGGACCTTTGCTACTTTACAAATTCAAATTACTTGCATGCATGTCCGACCGACGTAAACCCAGTTACTATTGGGTCTCGACGTTCCTCAAGCACCAAGACTGACTAGATTTACAACCAAATGTGCCAGATCCCACTTATACCTGGCATTAGTAAAGTCCACAAAAAAAATTACTTTAATGTTCACTAAATTGCTTTTATTGATACTAAGCTGACATTTTGCCTTACCTTTCATAAACATTGTTCACCAATTAAGTATGACATTTCCCTACCCTATGGAAGTGGGAAAATATAGCAATGATAATATATGTTAATACAACCATTCATCACAAACAATAGTTCCTTCACAAAAGTACGAACCAAAAATAAAATGTTCATGTTACATTGGTACCTTATCACAATGCTGATGTTATATCACATGGAAACCCATTGTATATAATGGGATCTAATTATGCAAACATTTGAAGCTACTAAAATATAAATGAAAGAACTAATATTCAAGCAGGTTTGAAGATTTCCTCAGAACAATAAAAATCACCCCATAAAGATGACAAGCTATTAGTAGACACAAATCATAATCTTGCTTATAATTAGCTGCTGCTTTCATGTGAAGTGGGAATTTTAACCTGGATTCTGCAGAACCAAAGACTTGTATGAACTTTGAAAAAGAGGGGGATGGTGGAGTGGGGTTACCTTGAGGTGCTTCCGGGGCTTAGCGTCCCCGCGGCCCGGTCGTCGACCAGGCCTCCTGGTTGCCGGATTACCGAGGATTTTCTTTGAAAGTCATACATCTGCCATTAAAGTTTCAAACTAGTGTAATTTGCAGAAAATGTCGTTTCAAGAATATTATACATATCACATTTACCGCATGCAAAAGTACCATAAATACAAAAGTTCTCAAGCTCGGTTCCAAGAGGAAGTTTGTCCACAGGAAAGTAAATACCACAGATGACAGGTTAAAAACCACTTGCAAAATGACTTTTGGTTACTTTCCTAGCAATACAGAAAACATTAAAATTAGAATTAATAACGCAACTGTCTGAGAGTGTGATACATTATTTCCTTGCTCAAATACATGTAATGCATTCAACATAACCCAAATCATGGCATTAGGCCTTACCCTAGGAATGTTTAACAGTACCCAAGTGAAGGAAACTGTTATAGCTGGTTAATGCTATCATTGTATCCAAAATGCTTTACTACACACAGTTAATAGGTGTATGAACATTAATATCAGTCAAAATTCCCAAGTTCAGTACATAACTGTTAAGTCATGCTTTTTAAGCAGTGGCCAATTATAAAGGGAATTTGGCTTATTTTACTTTTCAATAATACTTTCTAATGCATTCACAAATACAGTCAGTTAGGAGTGTCAGTCAGATACAGTCATTTGTGATAGTTTTGATACAAAATATAAAAAGAAATAACTTATCCTCATTTACCCTACATAGCCCAATTATTCGTCTTAGCCACAACAAAATTCAACCAATACAACAACCCAAGTAATCTTTCAAACAAGTAAATTTCTTAGCATTTCTAAAATTTGCCACAAAGTTATGAGAAAGAATGTGACAATCCTTGGTTACTAGGGCAACTTGGACGGTTCTGCTTAAAAAGCAAGAAATGTAAATTTTAAGTGTACAGTAATTGTTAATCTCTAGGAAGCTAACTTGTGCAAAATATTTTTTGACATTTATTTCAGCACAAATTGGCACGAGGTTCACCTGTACATGTACAATTTAATGATGAATTAAATATTCATTAGTCCCACAGTTATTGAGATCTTTACAATTACAGTATAGAAAACAGCCTTCCTACAAATCCTTATTAATTTTATGTTTCTATTAAATACATGAATCCTTTTATACTTAAATTTACAATATGTTTAATATTTACCAAAGGTTTTCAGATGTCTAAAATACAAATTTCCTTTTATAATTGATATTAAAAGCAAGAACCCTAAATTATATAACCGATACCAATAACCAACAAGGTACGAGTTGGTTATACCATTTGCCAGATACAAGGTATATGGCAAATGAACAATTATAGTGCCTGCATGAAGTATTTACTAGAAATGGCTTTTATGTCTACTTAAACACACTTCATACAAGAGCCCCGAAGACAAACCAACAGTGATAGGTAGCATAATGTGTAACACTACAACTGAATTCCTGTATGGACAATAAATATCTAGAAGCCAGTATAAATTTGCATTAATCATTACCCAAACCATTATACTGAACTTGGCAATTTCAGTGAAAAATATAAAATATCAACCCCTGATGTCTGTCAAGTATTTATACATTAAAGTTTAATTATCACCACCAGAAGTTCTTTCCTCTATATGTGAATTTACCAGAATAATACATTTTCTCGTGTTAACGATTAAAATGTTTGGCACTAGGTAACTGCCAAAACTTCCCTAGCCACAATCCCAGTCCTCAAAAATAAGCTAAGAACAAAATATTCTCAGAAGTGTATTATAAGTTCATTAACATGCTGGGACCCTTCAAAATATATAAACATAACTTATACACAAATGGAAGTTCAATCTTGCTCGTGTACATGTCCAAGAGAATACACAAACCTTAGTGAAAGATGCATTTGTTGTTATAGTGTATATTTCTAGTGTTATGAATCTTAAGGATGGTGTAAGTATAACCTGAAGCACTTGTGTTGTAGTCTGTTTCTCACTGACATGCTAAAAAGTCAGAAACAAACCAAAGCCCAGGTAACATTTCTTATATTAGGATCAGAAGCTAAATTCTAGATACATTTTTTCTGGACTTCAGTGTCATGGCTTTTGTTAAATCTATCCTTGTATTCCTCATAATATACAAATAGTTCCCAAATTCTCACAGCCACAACACCTACATGCACATTCTCTCTCTCTCTCTCTCACACACACACACACACACACACACACACACGCACGCACGCTTGAATGTTGGCACTCTTATCACACTTCTACTGTTCACAGTGCTTCAGGCACACACACCTGGCACCAAACAAAATTTTGTATCAAGACAAACTTTAATACATACACATTGGTGGTAATCCGAGACAAATGGTGTTATATAGCTTGCAGGGTAAAGTGGTCAGCAGAAAATGTTGATATACTTCAGGATAAATCAAGAGAAGTCTTACCTTCATTGGGATTTCTTGGTAGCAGCATCGTAGGAAGGTGGTGCCTCGGACTGTGGGTGGAAACATGAATAGCGTGCTACCAATATATTTGTTGACTTGTTCTAGTATGGACATTATTATACAACCTTATCCTAGTTAGCATTAGCAATAGTGAACTGGAGTGTACATACAAATATACTACATATAAACATGCATTCATCATAACCACCACCACCACACAAAAAAAAAGGTATAAAAAATATATCACCGATTCATTACTGGAACGTACATATCATTTACCTTATATAGCATCACAGACAAACAAGTACCACCACAAAACAGACATCCACAGTAGCACCGCTTCACAAAACATAATGGTCCTCAAACTGTCATATACAGTACAGATAAGTTCACTTCCTGTTTGCAAACTATATCCTCCCAGCATTGACCATACGCTGCACCGTGTGTGTTATTCCCACTCATTCCTGCTCCCTTACGCACACTCCCTATATCCTCTCAATTTCTTCAGGTTCCTCCTCCCATCCTTGAATTCACTTAATACATAGTACTTTATTTACTGGTCTACCATTATCCATTCGATTAGCATGCCCAAATTGTCATGATATGCTTTCTCTAAACTTTCAGTTTATTGACTTTTTGCACTAAACACTACTGTATTTCTAACATTTTCATGCCTTATAATCTTACACCACACATGCTCCTCAGATTATCCATTTCTATTTATACTATTCTTTATTTTCTCACATTCATAACACACACACACCACTGGCTGGCACCCCATGTAGCCAGAGGGCTGCATAAACTAACTTATTTTTTCTAATCTGGGAATTCATAACACCAGTCACTTCTCTTTAAAACTTACCAAATCTAGCACTTCACAATTCACATTTGTTAGGTTAACAACAAATTTGGTGTCAAAATGTTTGTAAATGAATTCTCTTGAGTATAGAGGCAAAAAAACTTTTGTATTTATAGTAAATTATGAGAAAGATTAATAAATATACAAATGTTTATTCGCAAGTCGGCCACATGGGCGAGCAGGAAGCTCTGGTCGGTCCATTCATGCCCTAGATATGATCTCTCCACACAATAATGGGAAATTTCTAAAGTTTTTGAACTAGTTGATGAGAATAGAACAGCTTGGGAACTGAAAACCGAAAATTAGCAGTCGGATGATATGTTTTAGCATCACTGAAACACTGAGAATAGCTTTTAATCTCCACCTATAACTAGATAAACAAATGCATGCATAATACATTTTACACACATCTCCATAATTTTTTTTTAGAGATTCTGATAACTGAAAGAGTAATACTTACATATGCTGGTGGGGGCACATAGGCATACTGAGGGTTGCTGGGGTCATAGTAAGCACTCTGGGCTGCCTCTTGAGCCTTAGCATCTGGCCCAAACAAGAGACAGTATTAGCAATGTGTTTTACAATATCAACATGCAAGCTGAAACCAATTTCTAAACTTGTTAAAATCACAAGGACAACAACACACTGTACTACAAACATGGCCCCCCCCCCCCCACTCACAATGACATAATGGGCCTCCCACTTGTGTATAACATTTATGCGACACTTTTTTGTAATTCTAATCAATAACATCCTTGGTATTTACTACAATTTGATATACAAAATAAATTTAAAGTCAGACCTAATGCACACCAAATAAGGATATGTGAAAACTCAACAAAGGCATGGGAAGAATTTGAAGGGAAGTGACTATATAAACTGACCAAGTTAAGACGTGTCAATTTGGGACAGTTGAATAGGTTGTTGAAGTTTACACATTTGTGTGCATTATACTAGTATTTGGTTCCCATGCAAGATGGCTTCTATATACACTCGACCATTTTCACACTTGCATCTGTCCAACCTATTCTTGATGCTTATGAAGATATTCACCTTAATGATGCAACTTGGCAGTGTGATCCATCTATCTATAACCATTAAATTTTCACACTATGAATTCTGACTAGATTTGATAATTTCAAAACTGAATATATGTCCTCTATCTTGCAATTACACACACTTGTTAAATGCCTTGCAAACTATCCTTGTAAGGAAGGTTCCTGATATTCAGGCTTAGCTTTCTACTAACTTGAATGTCTTCCAGGAAACTGATGTTCATTCTGTAGTATGGAATCCTAATTTGCACCATGCACCAAGTAAGGTCTTGCCAGAGCAAGGTCAAGTTCTAAAACACTTCTTGCTAGCAAAGCTGATACGAGAAAGGTACCACCAGTTCCTATGCCAGGCATATCCCACAACAAATATTTTAAGTTATGTGAGCATATCATATGGTAGGTATATGACTGGTGGTTTGTATGGGAGTGGTAGTAGTATGGGTGTAGGATTGATGACGAGAGCTATTTATTTGTGGGCGACAGGCTTCCCTGTGGCCAAATTCATTATTTTTGTTCTTGTTCCAACAGCTTATCCCATATTAGTGAGTGTACCTATCATCATAAAGAGATATACAAATACATATCAAGCTATTGTACTAACAAATCAGAAGAAAACTTAGAAATGCATGGCTACCAACCAGCAGCAGAGAGGCCAGTGGCTCCAGTGCCAGTGGGGTAGCCGTGATGGCCACCTATTCCAGGGTATGGTGGAGGAGCCTCGTACATGAACACACCATCAGCTGAAATTTTTTTTCTTATTTAATATCTTGCATCTATATACAGTATATAAAAAATAAAACAGGTCTACACATATCTAACATTAGCTCTCATAATAACATACTGTATATACCTATGGTGTTTAATTTGTAACAAATATATTTACACATTTTCTCATACTTTTTAAAAGAGGAGACAATGCAACACACCTGGTGGGCGTTCAGGGAAGGTGTTGACAGGTGGAACCCATCCGTAGTAGCCACCTGCTGGAGGAGCATAGGCAGGGGGTGGAGCCTGCGCCCAAGTGGCAGCTGGGGGTGTGTACGGTGGAGGTGCGTCACGATAACTGGCCTCAGTATTGCGGGTTACTGTTGTGGCATGTTTAATAAGCATGAGTCCAGTTGGATTGTTGAAAAAATAAAATGAGTTATTTCTACAATGTTTTTATTTTGGAGTGTAAGGAAGTGCAACTTACTGTTCAGTCCACCAGTAGCTCATGGATCAGTGGTACTACGAGACCTACCAAAAACCACGATAAAAATCTGGGTCTAAGAGATGAAAGAAACATTAGAATAAAAATGTTGACCCCCCAAAAATGTAGGAAAATGCTCCAAACACACGAAAGGGAAAAAAAGATAGAAAATAAAATTAAGAAAGCAGGACAAACAATTATTAGCAACTGTTAAGTAGGCAACAGTCCAAGTCACCCGGGGTCCTGATCTGCCACACTCCTCACACGAGAGCCTGGTCCTGGTGGTAGGTTTGTTCGTTTGCAGTCGTCTCCTTTTCTGGCAAAGAATGAGACTGCGCCTTCCGGAAGGAGGCTTGGGTTGTTGATGCTTGGTTGGTTCGGCTGGGGGTGCATCATGTGTTGTCCCCTGTTGCGGCTCTTCGCAACCTGCGCGCCACGGCCTTGGTAGCTGGGGATGCACTTTGGGTTGACCCGGTTTCCCTCCTTTCCTGTTCCAGGGCTGGGATCTTCCAGGTCGTCCTCAGGGTTATTCGGTCCTGCCAGCCTGTGGTCTATTCTCGTGCCCATGAAGTATGTTCGTAAGATTGCTGCTTTGGCTGCTGTCTTCGTTAACATGTCTTGGACTGACATTTGGGCACGGGGGTTTTGGAGGTCGAACAGGGTCCTAGCTGCTCGCTACCTGGGTCAATGTTCCTGGCCCTGGGAGGGCATATGTTGCATTGGGTCGGCGGTTGCAGCCAGTTGTTTCGACTTCGAGTTGAGGAGCGAGTAGCAACCACCTGCGGGTTAAGTCCCTCTTGTTTATTCCTTTGGTTAAGTAGCTCCGGGGGAGAAAACCTAGCATTCAATGTAATGAAATGCCATTTTTCTGGGCGAGACCCGGAGGCTCCCCAGCATCCCTCCCTCCCTCCAGTCGGCATTTTTTTCGCGTTTTGACATACAGCCTTACAACTAGGAGTGTGGATAGCTGGCTCAGAATTCTGGGGCTCCCCCTTTTCCCTACCAGGACAGCGTCATGGTGGCGTTTGCCACACGATTGTGACGTCAAGCTCATTTGCTCGTTTTTTGTTTGGGGTTATCCAACAGTTCGTCTTTCTCTAGCAATTTTGTTTAACCAGATAGGGTTTGTTTTGGGGCACTTATCTTTCTGGGTGTCGGACCCGGTCGATGGCAGACATAGAATGCTTCCAACCACATAGAGGTTTCTATAGCCCATTGCTCCTTGTGCCTCTCTGAGGAAGCTAGGGTCTTGCTCGTGGACTCCAGTAGGCCTAGAACTCCATTTGCTTTGACCGATGCTAGGCTCTAATAAATACATACGAGCCCGGATAGCTACAGAGAGCCGAAGGGGCTCCCCCCCCCCCAGAAAATGGCATCAAATATGTTCCTGTAACACCCATACAAAGTGGATTTGGGAGAAAGCACCAGGGCACCCCAAGCAACTCCATCACCAGGGTAAGCAAGTAAGCTGAAGCCAGCAAGATCCCCATCTTGAGAATAGCAACATCTTCAGCAGCAGAGGTGAGAGGACAATAATGGGGGAACTACCATGCAGATGAAGAATCCCTGCAAAAGCTCCTGAGGAATGCTGCTAACAAGGAAACCAGGCTCTAAACTGTATGGAGAAGGTAAAACAACTCGACCAGTAAAGATGTACAACACCGATATTGGACCATTCAGCTGCTCTTATTGACAAACAAATTATGGAAGCTCCTCACAGAAGGAGACCAAAGAAATACCAATGGCCAAACACTGAAATTTATTAGACAGCAGTGTAAACTGAGCTCTGGATAACAAGTCAAGAAATTTGAAAATACAGTAATGGGAAGAAAATTACCGAAGCTTAAAAACTGTGGGAGAACAAGTGGAAGTACATTCAAAGTACAGTACAACATAATATAAACTTCAAAGTTAATTTTCACATCCTGCTGAAGCAGAGTTACTCACCCATTGATGCCACTTTCAGCATTGCCTGGCCAAACTCAATTGCTCCACCATGTTTAAATGTCAACTTGAACTTTGCTTGCCCGTTCCAACCACCATTGGGCTGCGAGGTCACTGTCCCTTTGATGTAGTTAGCACCAAATACAGGTTGCTCTAACTCCACCTGTAATTGTAATGTAGATTGGAAATACAGCAATTGACAACATTTTACACCATTACAGCATTTTTGGACACGGAAGAGTACTTCACAACTCTCCTTTGAATGTGCGACAACACAATAATAAAAATTTATATATATTATTTAAATTTGTGATACAATTTAAATATTTAAGACATTAGTAAAAAATTGGGAAACAAGTATAACTACTGAGAAGTATAGCTACACTACTGTAACTGTATTGCCCATGTACAATTAACTGGGCTTCATTTGGTAAACTTAGATTAACAGATGTTCAGGATAAGGTAATGGCATGCGCATTGCAGAACGATATTGCATTTTATTTGCACAGACGTGGTTTTAAATTTCAGGGAAAACAACTAGAAAAAGGAGTGTGTGTGTGTGTGTGTTTATCTCTCAAAAAGTTTAGACAAATATCAATGATGAAAATCAAGTGCTGAAATACACTCCACAGAAAAATTACTGGAGTAAAATTGAAATTACCAGAGTAGATGAAAAATAGAAAATCGGACATTTTCATTGCTAAACAGAGCTTGACTGTGCTCATGTTTTATGATATACTAATAGGGATTTTCTAAATTAAAACCTTTGCATCGTATTTCTTATGGAAAAGAAAAGAGAATATTAGACTTGAAAAGTGAAAAGAACTGCAGAGAAGACAAAATATGCTTTTAAAAGAGTTTTGCATCTTAAGAGTGGGGACCCCAACCTATACTGGCAGGGAAATATTACAATGACAACAGTACGGTAGTACAATACACCTCTACACTACAACCTTGATGCACTATACACACTGCTGGTCTTGTTCTCCAACAATGACTACAACGGCCCTACAATGCCAAGTACAAATTAAGTCGTAATATCTGCTAATACAGACGCAAACTACTTTGTGTTATTCCTGAATTCATATTAACTTTATTTTATTTGGTAAGTTTTATAATCACAAACATGCCAAAAAAGACAAATATTTGAAACACCAATTTATGTTTCAATTTGCATACTTTCTGTACTGTGGTTAAAACCCATTACAGCTATCAGTTAAATCCCTTGTACAATTTAAACCAATTTTTTGTCACGTCAGAGCAATCTAAAACAAAATGTCTAGGTTAGCTTAGTTCAGGAAACGGTGGTGTAATCATCAGAGTGAAGAGAAATTACAGGATAAGTAAGCAAGTAACTGTCACAAGAAGGCTGGGAAACTTGTGTAGCACAAATTACAGGCTGGTACAGTATAATGAATATAGGCTAGGGCAATTGAGCTGTATATTGAAGACTTGAACCCTATGTAGTTTTTTACTAATACTTACTGACTAGTTTACTTCCTCTAAATTTTATGAAACTGGCATGGTGTCCAGATAAATTTTTAGCAATTTATGTTCATATGAATGAGCCTCACAATAAACTACTATCAAATTTTATGAATGTTATTAGGACTATCGAAATTAGGAAAATGTTGCAGTCCCCGTGGCACAATGGTAATTCTCATTGTGCTTTGTGAGTGGATTTGGCCTGGATTTGTATCCTGGCCAGGGAGGATCGACTGGGTGCCAATTCTTAACTGTAACCCCTGTTTACCCAGCAGTGAATGGGTACCTGGCTGTTAAACAATTTGGCAGATTGTATTCCAGGGAAAATCAAGATTAAGGACCTGCCCGAAATCCTATGCATGTTAGTGGCTTTACAAGAATGTAAGAACTCGTATATACAAATAAGATAAAAAAATAAAGATAAAAACTATCAAGTACATAATCCTTAGCACTATCATCACTTTTGTAGGTTATATAAAAATTCTTTTTACATTTGAAGAGATGTTCTATTCCCCTCCTCTCATCCCTCTGTGTGTGTTCAGTCAAGCTTATACAGTGCAAGCAGTACAGTGACCAGGAACAGTGCCTCTCTTCCTGGTCACACACTAAAAACTTTAGTGATTTTTAGCTCTATTACATCTTGATACTTTTTTTTCTGAAGGCTTTAACTAATTCAACTAAACTGCGGCCATGTTATTTTAGATGTTTCTCAATTTAAATCGGGTGTTACATTATTACAATTATTAGACAGAAAGAACAAATTGCAAGACACTGTACCCCAGCTGTATATATTTTGCATACTGGTGGAAAGCTTTCAAACACTATAAAACACTAAGTCTGACAAGGACTAACACATGATCCAACCATGAACAAAATCATGATGCCTTACCTCAGACTTTTTTTTTTGTTTTGAGGCATGAAAAATGTAAATCGTGTATAAATATGAATGCTGTGGAACTGGGATAAACTAATTTTTGGTATTTGACTAAGCACAATAAAGCAAAATTTTTGTAACTTAAATTAATGGCACAAATAGAAAACTTTTGTAATAAAGATGTATATACTGTACAGGTTTTGAAGTTATGAACATGATTTGAACTGGCAATAGAATTAGTCAGATCAAAGAAAAATGTCCAGTATACAGCTACAGAAACTTTAAATCTACGTATCCATAACATTTGACTTGCCAAGAGAATGAGCATGCAGCAAAACATCTTCACTTATCACTACTCCAACTTTTGATTTGTATCTAATAATTTAAAAGAATTCAATGACATGAACCAATAAAAACTATCACCAGCAGCATAAATTTGGAAAAGGTTCTGACCAACTGGATATGACTACATTACTTCAATTAGTTCATAAAAATATAGTACCCTAATGTCAGTACAGCAATGAAACTTTAATAGCACTGGTATGACTGGTACTTGTCTTGTTCTTTCTGTTGGAGAGGAGAAAAATTTCCAACTAAATAACCTCTTGCTCTACGCGATAAAATATCAAACTATGTGGGTTGTGTCTCTTTCAATGAGCCTAATGTGTTTACAGTACTGTACCATATCAACACCCGGCATGACACTGAAAACAAACCATTAACAGTGAGTATTCAATGACTTGCCAGGGACCATATCTTTTGTAAGATATGATACAGCTATCAAAACTTGTGATACTGTTCTACCATTTCCTCTATGTAATAAATCCCAAGTATGTGTACCAATTCTGACACCTAATCTGCTGTCAATAAGGTCTCCTGGACATTAAATATATTAATGTCATGTTCTCACACCAGTACATGCATCATGAACATATGAATCTTGAAACCATTTAAAAGTAAAGAACTTTACTAAGTAGAACAGTAGCCAAGTAGAGTACAGTATTCAACACATGCAATGTCTACTGATGAAAATATTGTGCAAAACAATTACTGTACTACCATGATCTGGATATGTCACAAGACAACAAATACAAAATTTTGGTTTACCAAGCACTGAAGTACTTTAAATACTCAATACTGTATACATATTTACAACTGGGTACATAGAAGACTCAAGCTTTACCAATAAATTAAATAAAATGCACACTGAAAAATTTGATAATGAAGTATATTAGAAGGCAAAACTTAGCAGTACATAAAGCAAAAAGATTTACACATTGGGAAGAGATAATATTGAGAGGCTCGGTAGATTTCAACACTAATGCATTTTGATATAGATTCATTGTCGACAAATAGAAACAGTTTATCAAGTACCAGACAAATCTTGTGAATTTCAAAAGGGGATTTTAAATGGAGTACTGTAAAGTATGGTTATGTGAAAAGAATATTGCATTTAAATGCCTACAGTCTCAGAAGCAACGAATGTTACATTAGATACTTGAATGGTAACAAAAAATTAATCACAACAGAAGGACTAACTAGACTTATCCTGAAAATAATTCTCAACAGGGATAGGGAAAGACGAAAAATTAAATAGCTAAAAAGCAAAGTGAAAACCCATGCTATAGATGCGAAAATCATATACTGTACAGTGACACTGCTACTTACCCCCTTTAGTGAGAAGAAGGGCGCAGCAAATGACTGGAGACGATCCTTTGCATCTTTATTGTTGAATATGAAGCGATGTGATGTCAGGTAGAGACGGCCTGTTTTGGCTCCTTTCATCTCTGGAGGAAGCGCTCCTCCAAACTCCATTGTCACATTATCACAAAACAAAATTATGCTGTGACAAAAACAAAACTTCTATTAACTTATGCCTCCAAACTTCAATTTCAAGCCCCAAAAAAAAAACACCATCATATAACTAACCACTGGTAAGCATTGCATTTAGTTGCATGGATTACACTACTGTATATTATAGTTATTAACACACAATTCAGTTAGACAAAACTTATAATAATTATAATTATTTGTGTCAGGGGATAGGAAGCCAGAATGTATTCATACACATTATTCATATAATATTCCCCCCCCCCCTAAAGTCAAATTCCTGACCCCGCCCAGGATGCAACCCCACAAGCTGACTAACTCCTGAGTACATACTACTTACTGCTAGGTGAACGGAGGCATTAGGTGAAAGGACATGTACCCAACCATTTCTGTCCCGCCTGGGATTCGAACCCAGAATTCTCGATTGTCTCGAGAACGAACCTGCCTGTACTACCAGGACCCTTAAAAAAAAGTTGTGAAAACTAACAGGAAGCCTAACCTACATGAAGTAAAATATTTATATTTAAGAAAAGCAAAGAAATCTATATTTATGCAGTATTGTAAACTATTTATATTACATACTGTGAAATTGTGCATGATCTTGTGTATACAGTATTGAAAAATTGGCCAGCAATAAATATGGTGAACTGTTGTATATTTCAAGTTTAGGATCATACTAAACCACCTGAAACAGTCCCCGTGGCATTTATTTTATTTATATTAAATATCTATACGCAACTAACACTTAACGAGCAAAATAGCCAATCGAGGTAATGCCAAAATACCATTTTTCCAAACCTGTGCATGTTCATGTCAATGTCTCTCAAAGTTTCAAAATTTATTGTGCAATTTATTTTGTAACATACAGTACTTAGCTACATTAATTTCAATGTTCAGTTGGTAAGTTCATCATATGTCCTGTAACGTTTAAACCATCGTTCAACGCATAAGTACTGGGTGCATAATAAACTATGGGGGGGAGGGGAACCTTAGACAAACGATCAACTTCCTGCCTTCGTCGAGGCCACTAGTATTAATAGCCCCCGGGTAAACCTAACAGTGTTCAAATTATTTAGGTTTTAAGAGCATATACCTCAATAACCATCTAATTAACCAATCTGAATACAAACTACAGAATTATCTGTGTGTTTTATGACAATTATTGAACCCCATGATCTTCCCACTGAGCAATGCCTCAATACTCCTCACAAACATCATAACTGGCCACAAAGACATACAATGTTGCCTCCACTGTATTTCCTTTATTTTTCAACCGCCAATGCAGTTGACACACAAGACGAGTCCATTTTCCCTACCATGTTGGCTTGGGAGCCGGTGACACCTGTCCGTCTCCTAGCCCCACCCCCCCTTCCCCATCCCGGACCCCAACCATGCTACTCCACACACTCATCCCCCCTCCCCCCACACATGCCCAAACAAAAGTCAAATACTGTACAACATAAATCACACTGAAAACTGTCCTGGATCCTTATACTGCTGACGTTTGTCAAGTGCAGTGGAGACCAGTGAGGAGGGTCCTCACACCTGCCCCCCCACACCCGTCGCCAGTCCTGCCCAGACACCCGCCGCCAGTCCTACCCCCCCCCCACACCCACCAACAGTCCTGCCCCCCACGCCCGCCGCCAGTCCTGCCCCTCCCCCCCCACACCCGCCGCCAGTCCTGCCCCTCCCCCCCCCACGCCTGCCGCCAGTCCTGCCCCTCCCCCCACGCCCGCCGCCAGTCCTGCCCCTCCCCCCACGCCCGCCGCCAGTCCTGCCCCTCCCCCCACACCCACCGCCAGTCCAGCCCCCACACCCACCGCCAGTCCTGCCCCCACACCCGCCGCCAGTCCTGCCCCCCCCACACTCGCCAACAGTCCTGCCCCCCACACCTGCCACCCCTCAAACATGCTCCTCCACCACCAGGAGGAAGGGAAATGTAATTATCAGGAGAAAGCGCCAAGCCACCACGACTATAGCCCTAGGAAGGGATCAGGATAAGGACATAGGACGGGACGGCGGGAAGGAATGGTGCCCCAACCACTTAGGACGGTCGCAGGGGGATTGAACACCGACCTGCATGACGCTCTACCGTCCCGCCCACCAGGAGGACCAAACTCTCAACACAGAGAGTGTAATCTCACCATTCTCCAGCGTAGATGAGGACGCCCTTGCCAGCGTGCGAGGTGTTCACGGACATGATGGCTACTGTCACCCTCGCCGCCTCCGTCCTCAACACCCTTACCAATCTTTCTAGAAATTTGTATCATAATGCACGATTTGTTTTCAATATTTCATATTGTATTTTAATACATGATAATAATGCATAATAGAGTCAATCTGTATTATTGAATTAGCAACAAAAATGCGTAGGAAAATATAATTTTCCTATATATTAATGTTGTGTGCAATATATCTAACACAAATTTAATATAAATTATATTGTTCTTATATTTTTTACTATAAAAATATTGGCATGTGCACCTATTGATTTCTTTTAATAATATATTTTGTATATCTGATATTCCTCAAAATCAAACGGGTGTTGAGGGCGTGATAATGGTCTATATCCGAACGTCCCGTCCACTCCCAAACACAAATTAAAAACCAAAGCCAAAATACACAATGGCCGTTGTGTCTATTAAATGGATAACAAGTATATTAAGTGAGACAATCGTTAATGGGCGGTGGAGTAGAGGAGGGGGGTGAGACTAGCGGTAATAATGGGTGACGTCGGCGTCGGCACACGAACACGGCGTCAGCTGACTGTGACGTCACACACTTCCTGCGGGAGTGTGATGCTGCGTCACTCATCATTACACAATCCGTCTCTTATTACGTATTATACACGTTTTACACACACATACTGCGATATGAACTGCAAACATTGCACTGGGTTAATAGTTAACAAAAGCCAAATTATATAAGTCCAAGGAGGGTCCAACGCCTTAAAATTAATTCAGGCAATGCAAAATAACACGATTCTTTTGACATGAAAATATTCTGCCATTTAAACAGGCATAAAGTAACATGATAATAATTCATGTTAACGTTATGACAACGTAAATTATTTAACTATATATAACTACTGATATATATCTGCCAATTTCTTAGACCAGAAAGTATGGTGCCTTCTTTTGATACTTAGACCAGAAAGGACTAAAGTTAAGCTTGAAAAATGTTTTCAGTCATGTCCTGGGGTATGGTCCGTTCGGACACGAGACGATTCGATGAATCTCGTTTTCTGTCTTAAAAGAGTTTATAATGCTGTGCTAGGCTGTTGTTAGCTGAGGTTAGCCTTTATTTCGCTCTGTTGGGTTAGGTTAGGTTGAGTTGGGGGATGGTTAGGTTAGGTTGGGCTAGGTATAGTTCCATAGTTTTCCAGCGTTACTCCAGCGCGAATCGTCTTGTGTACGATGTGACTTGGACTCACTTCAAGTTCAAGTAAGTTTATTGAGACAAGAAAAAAAAACATCTCAAAGGGATAGAGTAGCTTAGGCTACTTCTACCCCCATGAACTCACTTAGTTGTACTTGTTGGGGTTGAGCTTTAGCTCTTTGGTCCCACCTTTCAACTGTCAATCAATTGATGTACAGATTCCCGAGCCTATTGGTCTCTAGTATACCTATATTTGAAACTGTGTATGGAGTCACTGCCTAATGCATTCCATTTGCTAAATTAACTAAGCCGTCCCCGTAGTGTAGTGGTGAAGCACTTGCCTGGCATTTCGCAAGTGCTTTGTCCTGGGTTCGTATCCTGGCCAGGAAGGATTTACTGGGTGCCAAGCCTTAACTGTAGCCTCTGTTTACCCAACAGTAAAATGGGTACCTGGTTACTAAACGATTTGGCGGGTCATATTCCGGGGAACATAGGAATAAGGACTTGCCCGAAACGCTACGCGTGCTAGTGGCTGTACAAGAATGTAACAACTCTTGTATATATAAATAAATCAAAATAAAACTACTCTGACACTGAACGTTCTTTCTAACATCCCTGTGGCTCATTTGGGTACTAAGTGTCCACTTGTGTCCTCTTGTTTGCATACCACCCATACTAAACAGTTTATCTTTATCTACCCTGTCAGTTCCTCTCAGAATTTTACAGATAGTGATCATATCTCTCTTAATTATTCTGTCTTCCAATGTCATGAGGTTTAGTACCAGTAATCTTTCCTCGTAGCTCATAAGTCTCAACTCGGGGACTAGCATAGACCTGTTCGAGTTAAACTCTAATAGCCATTTATTGGACCATTCCTTCAGTCTGCCCAGGTCATCCTGTAGCCTCTTGCAATCCTCCTGTCTTAATCCTTTTCATAATTTTAGCATCAGTAAACATAGAAAGGAATGAGTCTATACCTTCTGTAAGATCATTCACATCCAGAATATCAGAAATAAGATAGGTCCATGTACAGAACCACATGAGACTCCGCTGGTAACATCATGCCAGTCTGAGGCCTCACCCCTCACAGGGGTGAGGCCTCAGAATTAATTAAAAATTATTATATTGTATTATTTTTATTATTTTATAGTAAATGTAGAGAAGACCCCATGGACAAAGTTCAGGACGAAGCATGCCGTAAGGATGGTTCAAGTTCAAGTATGTTTATTGAGACAAGAAAGAAATACATCTCAAGGGATAGAGTAGCTTAGGTTATTTCTACCCCCCTATAGTAAGGATGGACATTAATGATAAACTTATTTAAGTAAATATTATTGTTATTTGTTTATTTAACAGCTGACAGTTAAAAATCTAAACACAATAACCGTCTCCGTTAATGATAGGTCAATCGCAAGTACAGTTATGAACATGGGATGCGCAGAACCAATTTAAATGGATGCAACAGAGTATGAAGACTGGTCAAGTTTTGTTTTGTTTTACCACCAGCGGCGGCTAGTTCATTGCGCACCCCATACTCATCCTCAGCTGTAGAACAAAAGGATTACAGAGGGTACAAATTTATGGTCTAATTCAGATCTCAGCGGATATTTTACATTAGCTTAGATAATTTATCTGCAACCCTTCAGTTATAATGACAGCTAGTGATAAACCTTTTGCACTACAACTTCTATGAATTCCAATGTACACTGAAGGTAAGTCATTTTGTTAATCCTTATAATAATTTTTAATAGTTAACATTTCAGGATAATAGAAAAGTTCCTGTTTATGATTTCAGTCCACGACGCCATTGTTGGTGGAAGCCTCTCTAGCCTCGTCTGGACAAGCCCCAGTAGCGGTTCCCAATGACCTGGTAGACCTTCAGGCCAATTCAGGTGAAAAATGTGGTTTCAGATGACTCGAGGTAACTCTAGAGAAACTTACGTGACTTTAAATGGCTTCAAGTTATTTCCATATAATCTCAGACGCCTGAAGGCATCAGATGACTTAGATGATCCCAGATGACTTTAGACAGGTGCTGGCACAGTGGGAGAGAAGGCAGCAGCCGCTGCCTGATATTTTGCCACCAACTTGGCAACTGCAGGAGGCATGGCTGTGGGAGGAACAAGTAAGCCACTTAGTCTTGGCAGAGGGTAAGACAATGGCTGCATGATACTATGATGGTAAGTCAATACCTGAGATTATGACTGATGGTAAGAGTCTTACTGTCAACCATAACCTCAGCTATTGTCTTACCGTAAGACAATGACTGAGCTTAAGGATGGAGATGTGCTACATAGCCTTCCCGGCTTAGTGCTTTTATATAATTACATTAACATTAAGGATGGAAGTAATGTGGTTAAGATCAAGGTTTAGTTTTTAGTTTAGTTCATTCATTATGCACCCCATACCCATCTTGTGGGCGGTAGTGGAAAGGGTTCAAGGGTGGTAAATTAATATGACTGACAGGCAACTTCATGGAGGAACACTACCCGGGCAGGGATATGAAAGACAGACAACCTGCAACATACTTACTAGGGACGAGGAGTGGTGCGGCGGTAGCGCCAGGGAGTCCTACTGGGGCGGTGGCGCCAGGGAGTCCTACTGGGCCGGCGGCAGGAGTGAGTCCTCCCGGGGCGGTGGCGGGAAGTCCTGCTATGGCGGCGGCGGGAAGTCCTGCTATGGCGGCGACGGGGAGGATCCCGGGGGCGGGGGTGGTGTTGAGGGCTTGCAGGTCGGCGATCTCCTTAGCGGTGGGAACGAAGGCACTGAACATGGAGAAGGGCGCGGCGACGGGTGCTGCAGCTGGTGATGGGGTTGCTGCAGTGTGTGGTGGTGGTGGTACTCCTGATGCCGCTGCTCAGAGGAAACATGACAAGTGAGCTTCACCAAGGCGGGTATCTAATAATGTTCAACAATGCAATATGCGTTACTACTTTATAAGAATTTATGGGCGACTAAACCCCACTTCTTAAACCTACCTTTACAGTCTATGGAATGCAGACTAAACTGATGTTATGATGTGCGATATGGCCAGACTATCAAAACACGCCATACAGATAAAGATACCCAGTTATATGACACTCGTCTTAAGGAAGTAAAAAATTGCGAAATATTTAATTTATACAGCACTAACATGTTAAGAAGCACTTAATTATAACTGCCCTATTGAAGTACCGGCCCGTTCTACTACTCCCTCATAATATATATCCAACTACTGTAATATTATTTCACAACAAAAATGTATATTGCCAATATTCTGCATAAAACAACCAATTTATTAGCTTTAAGACTCACCAGAGAAGTGCGTATTTGTGAATTTCCAGTTATCAATGATTTTAAATTCAATATCACGAGATACTTGTAGTTTTGAAACATTAAACTTGCGGATTGTAGAATATATTCTCATACTCTACCCAAATTTTTCTAGTAAACTTAACTAACATACTAATTAGTTTTTGTTCTGTTACCAACTCTCATTAATATATGGAATAATAGGTGACCTTAAAACCAGCTCCTAATATATATATATATACTCTGTAATATAAAATAAGGTAGCAGCACACGGCTGTGTAACTAAAGGTTATAATACAAAAAAGATATAAAAAATACAACAAACTGATGTATACAGCTGGTGTATGTGTAAGGGGTGTACGCATTTGAGTATGAAGATCGGATTCTGTAGGATAGTCAACGCACTCTGGTTCGATTCCCGAGGCAGTATCAGACATTTGGACACCTATATAGTAATAATAAAGGTACCCGTGAATTAAGCAGCTGTTGTGGGCTGCATCTTGGGGAAAGTCGGCATTGGCGTAGAGACCTCGATAAGTGCAACAGGTTTCCTGTCCCTGTTATGGTTTACTGAAGAAAACTCTGAGTACGGCAGCACATTGACCTCAGGTGACAAGACTTGTCACCTGAGATGTGTCACTTTAATGTTTTTCTTGCCCGAAACGCTTTGCGTAATAGTGGCTTTAGGCATTGTATGTTCTAGCTCTATCTATAAATCTATCAATTTTTGTAAAACCTCTTGTATGTGTGTACCTTACCTGGATAAACATTTATTTATTTATTATTATTATTATTATTTATTACTTACCCCCTGGCGGCGGCATGGCGGCAGCGGCGTACACCAGGGCTGCCACACATACGAATACACCCTTCATCGTCATCTACGAGATTAAATGTTGAAAATTATTAATTTGAGAGCTATCGAAACTTTTAGATAAAATGCAATGTTGTTCTAAATATAACTAACAAAATATCTGGATGGAAGTTTCAGGAAATGTAAAGAATTTGGCCACGAACAAGAACCTACCTTCGTTGTGGTGACCAAGGAAGCTGTGACTAGATGAAGGCCCTCCGTCGCTTATATATCTTTAGGGAGGGTCACATGACCTGCCTCCTTCCACCACCACCTTGTCTACTCACAAGGGTCAGGCGTGACACGGCACCCAGGGGGCCGCTCACGCACCTGACGTGACGCTGCAGCAACATGCTACAAAGAGTGACAGTAATCTCACGTTCTCTGACGGTGGCAGGAAAGGAAATGTGATTCTTCAAGACGTGAGCACAGGTGGCTATAAGGGATTGCTGGCTTTATCACCAGGTTATAATGTTTGCTACATTATATCTTGCAATAAATTCAGATTATGCTAAAATGTATCTGTGGATTACATTGTACACTTAAATATACTTTAATGTACCTATTTTTTCTGCCAAATTTCTTATACAATGTTTTTTTGTACTTTCTTACAGTGCGTTTTTGTACCTTCTTTAGTTAGTTTAGTTCATTTATTATGCATCCCATACCCACCTTGTGGGCGGTAGTGGAAAGGGTTACAGAGGCCACTGGGACTGAACCCCACAATTCATTTAGCTAAGCAAGTTACAATCTTGATGAACTAGTTACAAAATTCAATATAAGTCGTCACATCATAAATGTGTTCGAGATCGACCACAAGTACAGGTTCTAAATTAAGCAACTGACATATGTGGAGAGCTAGTGTCACAGTTGATATGTTTGTCCTGCACACCGCCCCCCATCCAGTGGGCAGCGGTGGATAGGTTATAATCACTTAGTTACTACCTACAGTTTGCAAACTGGGAATATTTGGCTAAAATTTCTGGTAGCAGATAATTTTGAATGAACTATTTACACATCGTTGGAACATTGGTTATAGAATTGTCTCTAAATTCACGTATCTTTTCGCACTCCATCACATAGTGACGGAGGGTGTGCGAATAATTTTGTTGACACAGTTTACATTTGGTCAGGTCTACATCAGCAAAAAATAATGAGAATTCCCAGAGATACTTGTAACCGAGTCTAAGCCGAGCAGTAGTAACATCTAGAAGTCTGCTGATTTTATTGGATGATCCATTGATGTGTGGCTCCTCTTGCATGATAGTATGATGATAGATGGAATTACTGGTGTCGATTTCACTTTGCCTCAGATCTACAAGATTTTGTTGAAGTTCTCGGTGTACTGCTGCTCACAGATTGTTCATTGACAATCCAAAATTACACTCAACGTCTCATTTAAAGGCAGATTCTTTGGCTAACTCATCAGCTCTGTCATGCATTCGGAGGCCAACATGAGATGGAGACCACAGGAAATGGACTGTTACCATCTTTAATAATTTTGTTGTATTTGTGTCTAGCTGCAGACACGAGCATGTTACAGTTATGTCTTAAAGAGTTGAGAGCAATTAACGATGATAAAGAGCCACTTACAATTAATGTATCAAGTTTGGAGACTTGTACACATTTCAGTGCAAGGAGCAAGGCAAATAGTTCGGTCTGAAGGGTAGAGGCCCAGTTGTTTATACGGACTCCCCACTCAAAATATAAGCCATCGGCCAGTGTCAAGACAACTGCACTTCCAGCTGCACCCGTGGGGCGGTGTAGGGAACCATCAGTGTATATGATTTGAGAAAGAGAATGCGCTGTGGACAGAGCATCAATATGACTTAAGGCGTTGAACTTTGCCACAAAACGAAACTTGGGCGGATCTCTAATTTGCTTCTTGGGTGGAGAGGAAGGGATTAAAATTGGAAAGGGTGTAATATCCCACGGTGCAGAAAAGTGCCGTTGTCGTTTGTCTTGGTACACATTATATATCTGATACATTCTGAGCTCAGTTCCAGTTTTAGTTATCCATTTGGAAGAATGTTGACCTTCAATAAAGAAATTCTGGAGGGATTCTGTGCAAAGGTTAGGATGAGCTAGCATAAGAATTTTTATACCAATTTGACAGTTAATTTCAGTAACACGATCAACGACGCTCGGAATATTAAATTAGTTTCTCATGTTAAGTATCTTTGTGGTACGAGGGCACCCAAGGAGTATCCTCAAGGCTTCGTTCTGCAATTTTTCAAGCCCTCCAAGCTTTCTTTCAGGCATCAAAGCAAGCAGAGGTGCAGCATAATCCATTAAAGATCTAATGTATGCAAGGTACATCATTTTGACAATTTTGACATTGGCACCATAGCCTGAGTGATAACCTGTAACAGCCTTCAGAGCTCGGAGCCTCTCTTTATACTGACGACAGAGTCTGAATACAACAGGACCATCCAGTGGCACCTTAAAGCCAAGGTATTTGAATCTGTTTACATAGTCAAGCTGGGAGCCATCAGACAGTTGCATCTTGCGAACAGCTCCTCCCTGCCTGGGTGGGCGCCGATTTAGTAACTTTGTTTTCTCTGCCGAGATGACTAAACCTAGGACTCATGTCAGGACATGAGTCTAATACAGAGTTAAGAGTGTTCTGCGTATTAGCATACCCAGTGGTGTGTATCATTATATCATCAGCATAGCTCGGTACAGAGTTTGACAGCGTGTTTATATAATAATACTAATAATAATCATTATAAAATTTGTATTTATCAAATATACATAGGAACATGTTACAATAGTTAATTAACAGGTACATAAATTGTATACCACATAAAACCACTAATATGCAGTGTTTCGGCCATAGCATTATATGGTAAATCATTTATAAGTGTAATAAACACCAAAAATTAAACGAATAGTGAGGTAACATATTTGAATTCTTGAACAAATTTGTCAAAGGTTTACAATTTGAAAGCAACCCATCCTCCTATTTTGATAGTACCTTTTGTAACTACAGCATGAGCATAGTACAAACATTAACAATACTAAGCAAATAGTAGAATTTGGTACTATTCACTTTATAGTCGGAAAAAAATACTCAAAAGCAAACTTAAATATTTCTGGGCCTAGTAAAACACATTTGTGTACTATATTAGGCATCTGATATTGTGTATTAGGCCTAGGAAGAGTAGGTTAGGTTACTTTAAGTTGTGTTTGCAATATAAATGCAAACCCTTTTCCGGTTTGTCCAAATTTAATAGTGACGATTTCTACTTTCTAATTGTCCATTACGTCATATATGTACTATGGTCCTCATCGTTACTATATAAATACTAACTAAAAGGCGGATGGGCTGTTTTTAAGTGATAATTAATAATGAACGGCATAGCCTATTTAACAATAGCAATTGTACCACAACATTAAATGTCTAGTATTATGTTCACAATAACACCAAACAACACAGGTTGACATGCATGGTGAAGAAATGCGAGGGGAAATTTTGTACATAATGAAAATTAAGTATTTATCTTAGTTTCTCTTTTAAACTGGCGAGAGAATTTTTTTTTTCATTTGGGAAGTCATTTCAATTTAAAACCTTAATTTGCAAAGTATTTTTGTTTAGGTTAAGTCGCCCTCTTGGAGAAACTTTCTGTATTGGAAGGAAAACATTTGACTACCGAATTGTGCGCGCCTGCGTGCGCGGCAACCAGCTGAACCATGTTGAATATAAATATAAAACAATACAAGCTCCTTAAACAACCCGTTCTGGAGGGAAGAGGACTGGTCGACGACCGGGCCGCGGGGTCGCTAAGCCCCGAAACACCTCAAGGTAGGTCCTCGGACCAAGTCCATTCTATCCAGTGGTCGACCCCAAAGATGCATACATCAATTTTAACATTCTGTTCATTCAAAACAGAACTTTTCTTAAATATAATTTAATATTATTATATATTAGCATATTGTGCATATTTAGTCACTGGTTAGGTTAGATGTTTAGGTTCTGTTGGCGATTATTTGTATTTGTAGTACGTGGGTGAAGCATTTATAGCGTTGTGATTCGAACAAAATTCGTCAGTGAAACACTTGTTCCGGATATGTTCGAACGTCAGTAGTTGTGATTCGTGTGTAAACCGCTTTTCATTCATAAACAGGGGGTTTGGCAGGTGCATTGAATCACTTTTGGATCTTTGTTTGGAGGACGGGCTGTTTACAGCGTTGTAGTTCGAACAAAAGTAGTCAGTGAAGCACATGTTCCGGAAGTGTTCGAACGTCATCAGTTGTGAGTCGCGTATAAACCGTTTTTATTCATAAACAGATGGCTTAGAGGGTGCATGGAATGGACTTTGGGTCTTTGTTTAGACGGGCTGCCTTACGCAGCCCGTCCTCCAAACAAAGATCCAAAAGTGATTCCATGCACCCGCCAAACCCCCTGTTTATGAATGAAAAACGGTTTACACACGACTCACAACTGATGACGTTCGAACATATCCGAAACAAGTGTTTCACTGACGAATTTTGTTCGAATTACAACCTATAAATGCTTCACCCACGTACTACAAATACAAATAATCGCCAACAGAACCTAAACACCTAACCTAACCTATGCCTATATATGCACAATATGCTAATATATTATAATATTAATTTATACTTAAGAAAATTCACGTTTTGAATGAACAGCATATTAAAATTTATGAATGCGTCTGTGGGGTCGACTGCTGGATGTAATGGACTTGAGTCAAGGACGGGTTGCCTTACGATGCCCAAAACCGTCAGCTTCACACGGGCATGAAGTCATCGTGGCAAAGTGGTAACACACTCGCACAAAATCTTTTAATGATTCTTTTTAATTATGACTTTAATGATGCTCATTATTAAATATTTATTAACCAAATTCATTAGCGAAGGCCACTTTCATTCCTGCCCCAACGTCATGCGAGTAAATTCCTCAGCCCAAAAACTCCCCCCCCCCTGAAGGCACTTCACGAAGGGAGGGGGGCCCACCCAACGCCACCGGAAGCCACGCAAAACGCGAACCCGAACCCGACACTAGTGGCCTACCATGACGAGAGGAACCCCGGGCCTTGGAACGACCCTTCCGGGAAGGTCTACCACGGGACCCCTGAGAAACAGCAAGTCCAACATAGGACGACAAGAAGCCGAAGCAACCTGAATAAACTGTGCAACGGCCGAGGCCTCAAACAGGAGAGGACAAGAGGGAGAAGACATCCTAAGACCCAAGGCCCAAGCAGATTCCACAGAGGAGGCAAGCACCTTCTGCCGACACGCGAGCCAGGAAGCATAAAACAGAGCAACCGCATCTCGCAAGATCGGCGCGAAAAACTTCAGCAAGGCAGCCGATGAGCGCCGACGAGCGAGCCACCGAGGCCAAGGCGCCAGAACCAGGAACAGCCCCAAGCGCCCCTACATCCTCCGTGAACCAGTCCAAAGACAGCTCCAGGAGGGAAAAGAAACGCAAGGACGAAGTCAAAAGACCCCAGCCACGCAAGTCCTCGGCTACCTGCGCCGCCGAAAGGGAAGGAACCTGCACATGGAGCTGAACGACACCAACATCTCGGGAAAGGGCAGGAGCAAACAAGCACTCATTGAGGTGCTCGAGGTCGCCCCCTCAGGAAAACCTGCAGCACCGTCGAAGCCTCCCGCCACTCAAGCGTGCGGGAACGGCAGGAGGAGTGCCAGGACTCCAAGGTAAAGACAGGACAGTCCACCAGCCAGGACGACTTCGGAACCTCGTAACGGAGCCAGAAAGGGAACAAAGTCCC